GGACCCCAGAACAACACCCACCTCTTCCTGACGCCCCATAGGGACCCCAGAACAACACCCACCTCTTCCTGACGCCCCATAGGGACCCCAAAACAACACCCACCTCAGACCCCAGAACAACACCCACCTCTCCCTGACGCCCCACAGGGACCCCGGAACAACACCCACCTCTTCCTGACGCCAGACTGATTGAAAGGCAATGCCATGTGGCTGCTCTGCGTCAGGCCAAACTGGTGGGCGCCAGGCACGTACTCCAGAGGGGCGTCCACTGCACACTGCTCCTGAAAGGGACACATGGGGACACTCAGCCACCCACAGCCACGGCCCCGCTAACACATGTGTTCTTTCCATGGGAAAACCCCTCAGAAGCCACCATCTCAGGGCACCACCACGAAGGGAGTCAGCACTCCCTTCAACTCTGGTTTCAGTGAGGCCCTGGCCAGCCCTTACCGCTCACTTTAATCAGATGATTAGACAGAGGTGACTTAAACCCTCTCAAGTTCACTTAATTCAATGGGACGCTGAAGTCCCTCCCCCAATTTTCAACAGCCCTAAGGGCAGAGGCCTTGCTGTGTCCTCTCCACCCCCACCACAGTCCTAGGCTTTGGGAATGGCCCTAGGACACAGCGGCCCAGGATCCTCATAGCACAGGCACCGGGAAACTGGAAGAGCCCACAGGTGATGGGTCTCACAGGTCTCATGGGCTCAGAGTTTGATGCGTCTGAGTTCACATCAACATGAGGTGTGGACAAGAGGTGCGGGTGGGAAGAGCTCCGAGACCCTGGGGCAGGGGATGGGGACCCAGGGGAGGTGCCACAGCATGTTCAGGCTGCCCAGACAATGCCCAAGCCAGATGCCACCACAAAAACTGTCGTGAACTCAAAGACAGGCCTTGCATGGAAGGCACCGCTTTTGGTCAATTGCATCATCTCCTAAATTATTAGAGTGCACGCTTTGGACCAAGAAACAGAAGGGGGAGAAAATGGAAAATAACAATGATTGCCATAAAAACTGCTTGCCCCAAACTGGCTTTTCCTTAGGAAAAAGAGAATCACATCTCTTAAAAAAAATTTTAAGCAATGAAGATATGTACAATGGCTCACACTAAGTACGTATTTTCATGATTCCTGCTTATGTCTAAACCAGTGTTTCAACCTTTTTTGTCTCAGAGCACACTTGAACCTATAGCTAAACTTCCGTGGCACACTTAAATCATGCTGATGAGAAAACGAGTAACAAGAAGAATATACTTTTTGTACTTTTTGTGCTTTGAGCTTCTTTCAAAAATAATTTAATTCATGATCTCTACTAAAAATAGAAAAACTAGCTGGGCGCTGTGACAGGTGCCTGTAGTCCCAGCTACTTGGGAAGCTGAGGCAAAAGGATCGCTTAAATCTAAGAGGTTAAGGTTGCTATGAGCTATAATGACACCATGGCACTCAACCCAGAGTGACAGAGTGAGACTCTGTCACACACACACACACACACACACACACACACACACACGAGAGAAAATCACTGACCTAAAGTGATAATAAATCCTTCTAGGACCTCTGCCAAAAGTTTGCTGTGTGTCAGCCTAGTTAGGGTCCCTGAGCATTGGGCCCTGCAATCCGGAAATGATGGGTCATGTCACCCATCAGTTTGCTGGGAACACCTTCCAACGCCGTGTGCCTGCTCTGATCTTTATCACAGCCCCAGCTCCAGCTCTCGCAATACCTATTTTAATCCCCTCTGGCCTCCTCTCACGTTTTTTGACAGGACCTGAGGAACATCATTAACGAGGCTGCTCTCACCGGGAACACATGGGGCTCTGGCAGGAGCTCCCCGTCCTCGCCAAGAAAACCCAGCTTAGGCCTTTCTTCAAGCAAGCAGGTGTCCAAGTCCACTTGTTCAGAGCCAACTGCACTGGTGAAATCCAAAAGTCTAGGCACAAAGAAGGGAGAGTTTTCAAAATTAGGACACAGTACCTGTGTCATATGATTACTGTACAATTAAAATCCATAAGAAACAATGCATTTGTTTCTCTTATAGTGATCAGAGTGACCAACCTTCACTATGACGGAGAGTTTGGATAGATCACGTTATACACAGGAGTGTCCCAAAAGTCACCATACATAAAAAGTGGGAAGTTATAGCTGAATGCATCTTTATTTGTAAAATATTCATTACACGATTTTACAAAATATTCCCTATGTGTTGGTCACCCTTTTGTAAAATTTTGTAATGAATATTTTGTAAATAAAGGTATATTTAGCTATAATTTTCCATTTTTCCTATGCATGGTGACTTTGGGGACGCCCGGTACTTTCTTGTTTGATGCTTCTTGAAACACTATCCCAGATCCTTCCTGCGTAGCCTGCAAGACCCGCTCCAGAGCTGATACTCTTCCTGCAGCCTTCGCTGGGCTGCCCTGTGGCCACATTCATGGTCTGGTTTCCACCTCCCTGCATAGTGGCCTCAATTGAACACTGATGTCCTGTTTAGGAGGACGTGGGCTTCCCTCGTCACACGCCCCTTCACTGTGCAGCTTCAGCACCAAGTCCCGCTCCTGCATGAGACCCTGTGGCACTTTCCAGGACATGCCTGGGAACCACAAGAGACATGGAGTCCACAGCCTCACAGCCTTAAGGAGCATGAAGGTGACTCGTCAGTGAGGGAAAGAATGAACAGACAATAGGTGACTAAATATAAGTCTATAGAAATAGCTAAAGCAAGCCTCCAACAATGTAATCATGTGGAAACCCACGAAGACATTTTTATTCTTTCCAGGTTCAAGGACCCCTAAGAGGTAATTTGATGGGGAAAGACGCTGTGATTATGAAAGATCCAAGTCCTTGCTAAAGGTTGAGAGCCAAGTCAGTGGTCCGGCGGGACAGACCCCAATTTCATCAGCTCACGGTTTCTCCCGGGCAGACACTGACTGGCCCTGCAGGGCAGAGCACCAATTGAGTCTGCTCAGCATGCTGACCACTGGCAGAGGGTCAGCGAGGAGGAATGAATCATCACAAGCCCGCCACACATGGGATGGAGGCTTTCAGTTCTTAATTATACAGTAATTGCTTTCAGGGGAGCCATTAACGATCTAAAATTGCTAGTAGCCCAATTGTAAAAACAATGCAGAAATTTGTATTACAAAATCTGTCTTCTTTTAAATGCATGTCACCAATATATTTTAACCCCACCTATTTATGGATAATTGTGTGTGGAGCTAATGTTTCATCATTTATTTGAAAGTAAGATGACTGTAACTGTCAATCATTTGAATCCAATAAAGTCCATTTGGGGGGACTTCTGTGATAGACAAATGGGGTTCATATGTTCTTCAGGAACTTGTAAAATTTCAGGAAATCTCAAACAGCAAAATTAGACTGCAGGTCAGTGCTAGCACTCACTGTTAAAGGTCAGAAAACGCAAAAACATGCAGAGAGCAGTTTCACTTACTCCAGGTTAAAGATCAGGTTTCTGATGCAGCCATGGAACGAGCTTCTCATTCTGAGCACCGAGGTCCCCTTACCCTCTGGAACCCCCCCTATGTACAGGTTGGATACATTTATTGTCCTGCTTTCTGCTAATGGACCCAAGTTCACTTCCACAGGATTGGTCTCATCCAACTGAACAGTGATAATTCTAAAAGGTCAAAGGAGAAAATAAATGAAAATCTTTAAATATAATAAAACAATGACCCAATTTTAACACACGATCCCAGCGAAGTTCTTACTGAATAATAAAAATTCTTGGAAGACAAATTTTAATATGACATTGTGTCAGAGCAAAAAGGTGAATCTTAAAAATTAAAACTTACAACTGAAAATTCTTCAGAAATGAGTGCAATGCTAACACAAATCTTGAATTTGACTGCTTTTTTGAGAGTTTTCTTTTACCTCTTTACCTATGATGAAAACTTCCAGTATGCTTTTCACACGTTTGCTCTAGAGTTTTGGAGGGAAATGTACAGCAATGTTGACATAATCTACTTCCTACTGTACTGTTTACTATCGATATACTATTTATTAACACCATAATACTCTCTGCCACAGAATTAATCCAATATAATTTATATTGAGTTTCAAAAAAGGGCAAGGGTAAAGTTGTTCAATTATAGAAATAGCACAAACATCTCATAAGGAGGTGTCTGGCAAGGTTTGGCCTCTAGAACTATTTGGAATGCTAACCATGCCAGTCATTTCACTGCACAGGGCACCAGGACAAGGTTGGAAACCCTGGTGAGGTCCCCACCCCCTCATGACACACGCCTTGCCGTGGGGACGGTACCTCCGATTCCTAACCAAGGAGATGGAATGTGGCTGTCCATCGCTGTAGGTGCCGGTGGGAGCGTGTAGGAGGGCTTTCCTCAGGCTGGACCTGTCCCCAAGGCTGACGTGTACCTCAACGTGGCCTTCAATCAGCAGAATGGAGAAGAAAGGCTGGGGGTGGGAGGTGTACAGAGAATTATCCAGAAAAAAGCTTGTTACTATATGATTTAAAAAATTTCCATCTTACAAAGATAACATGGGAATATTAACATCAAGCAAGCAATTACTTAAGACTCTCATCATTTAACAGAACTATTTTAAATTTATTATGTTACTTTCTAATCCCTTCATATAATTTTTTTTTTCTGCAGTTTTTTGGCCAGGGCTGGGTTTGAACCTGCCACCTCCAGTATATGGGGCTGGCACCCTACTCCTTTGAGCCACAGGCACCGCCCTATCCCTTCCTATAATTTACATTGTTCATTATACTGTTACCACTACACATACCACCCCACGTTTCCATTTCTGCATTGCCTTCATGCGTATTCCTTATTGCTACATTATGTATCAATAAATAGATAGATTATAATTTGTCTTTTTAATCAATAACATTTAAAGTAGTTTCAATTTGATAATTGTTTATTATCATCCATATGAATATTTAACTTTTTTGCCTGTGAAATTGTTTCTAACCTTTCTAAAAGTGGAACTAAAGTTTGACAATATTTAAAGCTCTTAAAATCATTTTGCCATATTGAAAAGAGATATAACAATTCATAATGCCGCCAGCAGAACTGGATGGAGGTGTTTCACAATACCCTGGTTACTAGTGGACGGCATCACTCCGTTTCTGCTGGCTCAGAAAAGAGTTTGGCAGAGCTTCCAAAAGTCAAACATACAATTACCACATGACCAACAGCTCTTCTCCTGGGTATACACTCAGAAGAATTGAAAACAGGGACTCAAACACTTATTTGAGCATTATTCATAATAACCAAAAAGGAGAAATAACCCCATGTATCAAGGAAGCAACTGATAAACTGTGAGAGGTACATACAGCTGGATACTATTCAGCCATAAAGAGGAATGAAGACTTGGGTGGTGCCTGTGTCTCAAAAGAGAAGGGCGCTGGCCCCATATGCTGGAGATGGCGGGTTCAAACCCAGCCTCGGCCAAAAAAAAAGAAAAAAAAAGGAACACAGACCTCACATACTGCAGCTTGGATGCACCTGGTGTGAGTCTATTGATACGAAATATCCAGAACAGGTAAATCCATCCTCAGAGACAAAAAGCAGATGGGCGGTTGCCAGGGGTGGGAGAGAGGGGCACAGGGAGTGACTGCTTAATGCCCCAGACTTCTATCTGGGTGATGAAAATGTTTAGAAATAAACAGAGAAGGTGGCCTTGCGGCACTGTGGGTGCGCTAAATGCTACTGAATTTTTTACTCCAAAATGGTTAATTTTATATAAATTTCAGGCTGGGTGTGGTGGCTCAAGCCTGTAATCCTAGCACTCTGGGAGGCTGAGGTGGGTGGATTGCTTGAGTTCACGAGTTTGAGACCAGCCTGAGCAAAAGCGAGACCCTGTCTTTACTAAAATAGAAAAACTGAGGCAGGAGGATCACTTGAGCCCAAGTTGGAGGTTGCTGTGAGCTATGACGCCATGGCACTCTACCCAGGATGATAGCTTGAGACTCTGTCTCAAAAATATATATATATATAAATTTCAGTTCAACTTTTATATTAAAAAAGAAATGATCAGTGGAGTCCCAAACCAATTCAGTCATTATCAACCCTTCTTCACCAAGTGGCTTGTGACACACTTGGGGTCTACAAACAGATGTCACATAACAGCTGTGTGACCTTGGGCACACAGACCGGGCTCTCTGAATCCGTTTCTTCCTCAGCAAAACGTAGGCAGCAGCATCTGCCTTGCAGGTGGCTGTGATCCTTCGCAGCAATGTCTGTAAAGTGTCTTGTACAGTAAAGAAGTTACTCTGTACAGTGCGGTAACACGGGCACCACAACACCTGGCTGTTGTTTTATTTTTTGTTGCAGTTTGGCCGAGGCCGGGTTTGAACCCACCACCCTCAGTATATGAAGCCGGCACCCTACCCACTGAGCCACCGGTGCTGCTCTTTTAATCCTTTCAAACGTTCAAGCATAGTATGTTTCAACCTTTTTTATCTCACGTCATACTTGAACCTATAGCATATACGTCCACAGCATACTTAAATTATGTTGATCAAAAAAAAAGTAAAAAAAGAGAATATACTCACTGTGCTTTGAACTTCTTTTGAAAATAATTTAATCATGATCTTTAAAATTTCTCACAGTACACTGGTTGAAAATCACCACTATAGCAGATGAAGAAAACCCTGCCTTAGAGCAGTAGACTAAAGACCTGAACAGTGCAAGAGGACTGCTGCCTTGGCCTTAGAATGAAAAGTAACGACCACGACACGTGGAAGACAACTCCGGGTGTGCTCACTGAACGTGTTTTCACAAAAATGACAGGTGCACAGCAAGTATCTTCTCCTAAGTCGCTGGACAAGAAGGATGGATTGTGCAGCAGGAAATCCCTGATACATAAGGGAACGGCACTCAGCGATGTAACTTTTACTTATTAAAAACTCATACTCATTAACATACCAAAAGTTTAAGAGTAGGCAGCCGGTGATACCGGAAAAGTGGCACCCCAGCCAGCTCAGCCAAGCAGGGCTGGGGGACCTGCCACCTCTGTCTTGGTGGCAGCAGCTGGCAAAGGAACTGGCAGGCTGGAGCAAGCAGGGGAGCTTCCCTCCCCCACCAGAGGCTGCAGTAGAGCGGCGCTAGAGGACCTGGCGCTAGAGGACCTGCCCGCTCTGCCTTGGCAGCGGCTGGAAACCGGCAGGCTGGAGCCAAAGGGGGAGCTTTCCTCTCCCACCAGAGGCTCCAGTAACAAAAAAAGACCAGGCCGATCGGGGGAAAACGCTGGCGATTCCTCCAGTGCATCCCTGATTGGTCCATTTTCAATCCTGCTCCTGACTGGTCTATTTTATAGACCAATCACAGCTAAGCTATTACCCCTCTATAAGGCCCCTGAGCAGAGAGCCTAGGAGCAGATCCTTGCAGACCTTCAAGAAGATAGAGCAGAAGAACAAGACTTCAGTGAGCTGTTGCAGAACTTTGAGAAAGAAAGAGCGAGAGCTGTGGCACTTCTACTGCTGATTCTGTTCTACAAAGAGGCTTGGTCCTTTGTAGGAGCTGTAACACTTCTATTGCTGATCCCGCTCTACAAAGAGGCTTCGCTCTTTGTCAGAGTTGTTTTCATAAGAGTTGTAACACTCGCATCCTGCCCTGCAAGGCGGTTTGGATCTTTGAGCTGTAAATAAAACCTCACTGTTCATTCTATGGTCCGTCGGGTCATTCATTGAATCGTCAAGACCAAGAGCCTGGAAATCTGAAGTCAAAAATCCAGTATCACCAGGAGCTACTCACCACATGGGCCTGTCCACGACCCTGCATCTCTGCGTCCCTGCCAAGGGCAGCCAGGATGATGCCACTGCTGTTGTTGGTGGCAAATGTGGCCAGCAATTCCGATTCTGGGGTCAAAGACTTGGATGGCAACTCAACGTAGCCGCCTCTCAAGAGGCTAACACTTCGGACGGGCTGGTCAGAGGGGATGAAGAGGAGCCGTGAGTTCCCAGCTACAGGCCGACTCCCCACGGTGGGGATGCCACTGGGCTTCCCCACTGTCTCCATTCTGTCCACCCACTGGTTTAGATTTTATGTTATTATTTTGCTACATCAGTGGATATTTATAGAAACTCATTCCAACATTAACAACAATGTTTCCTACCTCCAACATACAGCCTTTTCTTACTCCATAGGAATTTCTGAGTAAATCAAAGGTGGATCTGGATATTTCCAGGTTCTTGATACAGCCCACATAGCTTTTGCTGGTGATTCCTTTCCTACAGGGAAGGAGGTGAGAAAAGCCATAATAAAATTTGGATTTTATAATTCTGCTTTTGAAAGAAGGAATAAAAATGGACCTATATTTATAAAAAAATCTCTTTCCATGGGCCACACTGCAGAAATGTCTAGACCCTCCTCTAAGAACGGTACTGATGGTGAGAACTCAGGTCAAACAAATACTCTCCTGAGGACTAGAGAAAGGGCTTAGGTAGACCTAGAGAGTGTGGCCACTTTGATGGCTACCTACAAGCAAATAAATATGTTTAATATTTTAAGGGGAACTCACAGTTGTAACAATCTAAATACACTCATTAAAACACAAGCAAATTATAAGAAAGGCAATACGTTGTCATAAGGAAATTATAGCCCACAAGTTACAATCCAGTTACCACGTAGAATAGAACATTTGGCTCCCATGAGGACAAGTGTGAGGGGTGCCATGATCAGTGGCTAAAGAAGTCATGGGTTTCTGTCCACACTATGTACACGTGAACTCTGTCCTAAAGGAAATAATTGCACTTGGTGAAGTTTGAGATTGTCCCAGACCCTATTTCTTATCCTCCAAGTCAATAGCATATTTTTCTTTCCAGAAGTTGCCCCAGGCCTGGCTGGGGTCAGGCTCTCATTTCCAAAGCACAGAGACTACTGACCATCTCCAAACTTTGCACATCAGCTAGTTACAGGAGAGTTTCACAGTGATAGGGTTTCCTCTTACAATAACAGCTTTTTCTTTCTTTTTTTTTTTTGTCTATGTTAAATAATCAGCTGGGGACCTTTAACCAACTACATGATGTGGGGCAAATTTCACCCTTTCTGGATCTCGGTTTCTTCCAAAGTAAATGAGGAGGTTGGCTGCGGAGATACTCAAGTGTCTTCTAATATGAACGTCTGGGGTCTGGACTCCTTTCCTTTTCTCCAGTGTCTACCCTGTGCCATGTGGGCAAACTACAGACGCACCATGACACTGACGAAGACTCGATGTTGATTCAATGTAGCCGCCTCGCTAGAGGCTAAACTAACCATACAAGGAATAGGGAATGAAGTCTGGGGTGGGATTCCATGACATGCACAGTCCTGGCAAGTGACCAGCTGGCAGAGGTTTCAAGTACTCATGTCTGAGACCAGGAGGTGACTGGGGTTGCAAACTGTGCCCCTGAACACTTCCCGATATGCCTGGCAGAGGGGAGGGACACAGTGGGAAGTGGACCCTGGGCTCCTCCCGGAGCCACTGCATGGCCGCACCTCTGTGTCATACATCAGCCTTCTGTAAAAGAACTTGGTCTAAAGACAGGGCACTGCCACAGATAATTTGGAAACCACTGGGCTGGGTGACCCAGTTTGGACATTTGATGACTCTACTCCCTGGAGGCTATCTTGCCTTGATTGCTAGACTTACACAAATGACAAATAGGTTTGTGTAAATCATTAAAGTCACAAAGCTAAACATGGATCACTGTTACAAAGGATTCCTTTGTCTCTCCTCTGCCACATTTCATCTGGGCTCTTGATGCTGGCTTTTTAACTTCCACATACATTATTCACTCTAGCCACACAAAGGGGAATCCAGAGAAGTCTGCAGAAAGCATGATATTTTTTCCTGTAAAGAAATTCTACTATTCTAGCTCAGAACCTATAGCACAGTGGTTACGGTGCAGCCACGTACACTGAGGTTGGCAGGTTCGAGCCCAGCTCAGGCCAACTAAACAACTGCAACAAAAAAATAGCCAGGCATTGAGGTGGATGCCTGTAGTCCCAGATACCTGGGAGGCTGAGGAAAGAGAATCACTTAAGCCCAAGAGTTTGAGGTTGCTGTGAGCTGTGACACCTCTGTACCAAGGGTGACATAGTGAGACTCTGTCTCAAAGGGAAAAAAAAAAAGAAATTCTACTATTCTGGCCATGGAGGCTCATAGGTGGCTCTCAACATTTTAGAAGGTCAAGGCAAGAGGATCCCTGGGGTGTCAGTTCAACACCAGACTGGGCAATAGTGAGACTCCCATCTCTACAAAAAGGGAAGATAATTAGGAGGCACGGTGATGCACATCTGTCATTCCAGCTACTTAGGAGGCTGAGGCAAGATCATCTGAGCCCAAGAGTTTGAGTTTGCCATGAGCTAGGGTGATGCCACTGCACTCTAAGTCCAGGTGATGCCATTGCACTCTAGTCCAGGCAACAGAGTAAGACCTTATCTCAGAAAAAAAAAAGAGAGAGAGAGAGAGAAAGAGAGAGATTCTACTACTTTAAAATGTCCAGATAGGGAGTGGAATATGACAAGTGGGGTCTCCAAATATTGCACAGTAAACAATATTTAGATCTTTTTTTTCCTGAGACAGAGCCTCAAGCTGCCGCCCTGAGTAGAGTGCCGTGGCATCACAGCTCACAGCAACCCCCAACTCCTGGGCTCAAGCGATTCTCCTATCTTTGTCTCACAAGTAGCTGGGACTACAGGCGCCTGCCACAACGCCCGGGTATTTTTTGGTTGCAAGAGACGGGGTCTTGTTCTGTTGCAGAAATGAGGGACACGGAAGTGCTGTAGTTAAACGTCATACCTTACAGCTCTTGACCGAGGTAATCCACCCACATAAATTGGGTCCTTATCCAGACGATTGAGGTCGGAAGATACTCCCGGAGTCTCGCCTTGCTTAGTCTCTTTGTAACTAGTGTTGTACGCATCAATGACCGCCAGGAGACCTAAAAGGAGGTTGAAAGGAAGAGGCAAGGAAATGGAAATCACCTTCTACACTAAGTAAAATGCACACTTTTGCCAACAAAGTTCATTTACGAAGACATCTTCTTTTCAATTCTGCACATTTGACCAGCTGATGTTCTGGGCTATTAAAAGACAAATGAGAAATCCTCTTGACCAAAGTCAATAAATCCAATACACCCATTGATAAATGACAGCAATGTGTGTGTGGAAGAAAACAGGATGGATTCCATGTTTGATCCCAATTCAGCATCTAATGTTAAACAACGTACTTGGGGGCGGCACGTGTGGCTCAAGGAGTGGGGCGCTGGCCCCATATCCCGAAGGAGGTGGGTTCAAACCCAGCCCTGGCCAAAAACTGCAACAACAACAACAACAACAAAAAAATGTACTTGGAAACCACAGATAATTATTATAATATTCCTCCAGCAAAGTATGAATTTTGTTGCTTAAGATATGAAAGACAATGGCTTTCAATTAGAATATTACTTAAGAATAGCTAGAAAACTAAGGTAGAAGAAGGACTGCTGCTTTTAGAAGAATTTGACAGCAGCCGAGTCCATCTGGGCACCCACCTTGTTTCCGGTTTCGCTGAAAGGCAATTTTGTACCAGGTCCCATTGTTGTAACGTCTGTCTGTCATAAGTGCAAGGGGTCCCGAACCCAGGTCAACAGTAACTTTCACTCTGCCGTGGACCAACTCGATGGATAAAAAGTCTTTCTGTAAAGAAAAGAACACAGTTCCCTGTGGCTGTATCTGTGTCCCAAGTTTCCCTTTCCCTTCAAGTCAGGGATGGCAGAAACCTAAAATCAAACTCAGAAAACTGGAGCTGGCCCCATAACCAGCGGGCTATGCTCTAAAACTAAAAATGTCCGTGAAGGTTTTCTGGAATACTACACAAATAAAAATGAAACGATCTTCACTGCTGTGAAAATCTACAGTTTTCATAAGTGAGAGAAGTGGAACCTCTTTGTATCTTTTTTATTCAGACTGACAAATGGACCAGTCCTAAAAAATAAAAGAAAACTGAGAGACGCACACGAGAGGAAAATGGGATCATAACATTCCTGGGAGTGGAATTTAACTAAGGTCACTGTGGTTGCCGTGAACATAGAACGAAACATATTATTTGAACTCAAAATTTAATGACAAATGTTTAACTGACATGTGCAATGACTGGACGGCTGGTTTCCACTTGGTGTTCTTTGGTATGTCCCAAAGGTTCCACAGCAGCGGTTCTCAACCTGTGGGTGGCGACCCCTTTGGACTGTATTAAAGGTTCGCGGAATTAGGAAGGTTGAGAGCCACTGTTCTACAGTAAATTCATATTAATATAATAAATAAATGGTGCAAAGTGGGGAAACTGTATGACATACATATCTATATGTTAGTATATGTTTATAAACTCACACAGCATACGTATGTATAATTTAATTAGAAAATCCTCACTAAACAAAAACAAATTCATAGCAACAAAAACGTGTGTACACAGGAGGGCTTCATGCCCCAGAAAGAGTCTTACTGTGCCGTTGGAAGCCAGGTAGAGGAGAAGCCCATTAGGTGAAAAGGTGCTGAAGAGCATTATTATCTGGGTCACAGTAGCCCGAAGCGTCTTCTCTACGACAGAGTACCCGCTCCCGTCAAAATGGAAGGAAGAGTCTTCATTCTGGGAGCTGCAAAGCAGAAGAGACAAAATACAATCCATTTTCAAGAAGGTGAAGAGAACAAACAGTACGTTTATTGATTGCTCCCTCACAAAATTCACAGTCGAGCTATTATTGCCATCATTTGATAACATTAATTTGGTAAACCATAATACATTAGAACCTCTGGAAGCTGACCACTTAAGGGAGTGTAACAAACTGGTCAACATAAGAAACTAGGCCTCCTGTACTGATATGTACATGTGGTGTGTGTCCTGTCCACCACCTCCCTAGACTGACCAACCCTTTATGGTGCCCTAATTTTCATACACTGGCCATGCATCATGTGTACTCAATGTATAACAGGCCTAGGTCCTTATGTTGACCACCTCAGCATGTTGACCTGTTTGGGGCAGCCCCCCGAGTGGTCCACTTACAGAGGGTCTACTACAATATGCTTGCCTTGAGTTTAAGCCCAGCTGCTTTCTAAGGACAGGCGAGTGAATGGAGGCAGTGTTCACTCTAGTAAGAAGACAGTTTTCACAGGAGGATAACTGCTATAGATATTTCTACTTATTTAGATTTGTTTTCTAATTTTCTTCAAAAAAACTGTCTTTTCTTAATTCCAGTACCCTCACAGAGTAATTTTTATATTGGCATTTATCATCTTGTGCTGTTTTACTTTTTTAACTCTACTTATTTATTTAAAGACAGAGACTTACTCTTGCCCTAGGCTAGATTGCCCTGGAAACACTTTTGCTCCCAACACCCTATATTCATTTTGATGAGAACTGTTATGTTGCAGGAAGATGAGGCCCAACTGAGAGAAAGAGCACCCAAACACCACGTTTCTAAGAGGAAGGGCTTTCTTTATTCACCAGCCGGGAGCTTTCGACATAGAATTCCAAATGGCCTTGCTCCCCAACTGGCTTAGTCTTTCCCTTTATATCGACAGTCAAACAGTTCCACCCCACAGCTACCCTTCTCATTGGCCAGTCTGAATCAAGCAGGAGATGCTATTCCAGCCCCTACAGAACTACAGGATTTCACAGAACTTGGAAATTTCCAAGTTCCAGGAAGTTAAGTTTACAAATTCCCAAGACCTGAGTCACCAAGTCCATGCACCATGGACCCTGCAGGTGCATCCTTGTGGGCTCCTTGAGAAGTCCTGTTCTCCTAGACCTCACCCTTCTCCAGTAGGGTATCCTCTTTCATTAGAATTAGTGATTAATTTTGTAATATCCTTTGAGAATTTAAGCGAATGTTCACAATTATAAATAGTGATACCACACAAAGAAGGGTAAAAATGTAGTCAAGGAGGAATATAAAAGAAAGCAGTATGCTGACTTGATAGTATGAGTTACACTTATGGGTTAAGACTCATAATTTTTAAAAAAAAATCTAAAGGATATCAATGGAGCACCCTGGTGATTTCATAATGGCAACTTACACAAAGAGGAAAAATGCAAAATTAATTCTAATCACAGTCAGCCAAAGTGAACTGTTATTAAAATTAGGTTGTTATTCTTTCTGAAGTTTTTGCCTAAGGTGGGGCAAGGGGGAGGAGGGATTTACAATGAAGACAGCCAATCCATTCACAAACAGACTTATAGCCCTCATCTGGGTCTATATCTGCATGCTCCTTTTATTTTATTTTATTTTTATTTATTTATTTTTTTGCATGCTCCTTTTAAAAAAAGGTTCAGGGTCAATTGATTTGGAAACTTCTGCAACTCCACCTTCTCCTCAGGACTGGGTCACCATGCATATTAGCACACCACGGATAAAAGCTCAGATAGCCTTGTAGCAAAAAAAGTTTAATTTTCTAACTCAGTGCTTCTCAAACATTTGTTATCAGGATATCTGTTATAGGGTATCTATTCATATCCTACCCAACTGGTATTCTTTACAAACACCTATTATTGGAAATGTTGGCCGATATATATATAAGAATAGCCTGCTGATTTGTTCAGTCTGCAGAAAAGTGCCATTCACCAAGTCCTGGCTTGCTTGAGCTGATGAGCCTCTGTGCTCCTCCAGCTCAGGGCAGCAGCTGCCCTCTGTCCACAAGCCAGGCCCTGTGTTACCAGGACACAGCATGCCAGGTTCCCTCCTCCTCATCAGTCAAAGGTCCTGGGTGGGTGGGAATCTGTGGGGCAGGTGTCTCAATGAGGACAAAACTGACCACACAGAAAACTGACTCCCACTCCCTCCTTCCAAAAAAAGAGAAGGAGAGCCAGCAACTGTCACCTTCACGCCGCACTGCAGCTAGAGGTCAGTGGATTCAAAATAACCCTGAGGATGATGATGAAAATAGGGGACATTGTAACAGCTAAAGTACGGGGACATTTTCCAAATTAGAAACATTAAAATTTTCTAATTAGAAAATTGCTATTGGGGCCCCATATGCCGGAGGTGGCGGGAAAAAAAACTGAAAAAAAAAAAAAAAAAAAAAAAAAAAAAGAAAATTGTTGTTAACAATTTTCCTTTCTAACAGTGAAGTTTCAGCCGGGGTGGGGAGCCTGCACCCTAGGGAAACTTGTGGCCTTCCAGATCCTTAAGTGTGTCCTTTGGACTGAATCCGAATGCTACAGAACAAATCCTTTCATTAAAAGGGGTGCAGCAGGGAAAGATGAAGCTTTTCTTAGCTCTTTTTGTTCTTAACAACTAACAATCACGAAATCAGAAGGCTACAGGGTGGGGCTGGGGCATTGTTCATATTACAATTACTAAATTGCTGGAGAGTTCCTTGTTAGAAACACCGTGTAAGGAAAAAGAGACAGAGCTGGAATACGTCTCATTCCCCTGAAGTTCTAGTAACTGTTCTTACCTCACAAGATAGCATTTTTTTTTCTTTTCTGAGACACAGTCTCACTATGTCGCCCTCAATAGAGCGCTGTGGCATCACAGCTCACAGCAACCTCAAACTCTTGGGCTTAAACGATTCTCTTGCCTCAGTCTCCCAAGTAGCTGGGACTATAGGTGTCCACCACAATGCCTGGCAGTTTTTCTACATTTAGTAGGAATGATGTCTTGCTGCTGCTAGGGCTGATCTCCAACTCCTGTGCTCAGGGCGATCCACCTGCTTGGCCTCCCAGAGTGCTAGGATTACAGGTGTGAGCCAACTCAAGTTGCTTTTAACTGATCTTGTCACACTTGCTGTTAATTACAGATATTTATCTGGACAGAGCAGCCCCTTAGATGAGAGAATTTAGATGTGACCATTCTCTAATAGCAAAATACAATTTATTGTCATAATCATTATAGTGCTAGAATGCAGGCCTTATATACTTAAGGGGCTGTAGTTATTTTGTTATAAAATAACAGGGCAGGTATTGAGCTTGGTGAGATTGAGTTATTAAATGCCTCCTATTTTATCAATATATGCAAAAAGATATTAGTTGTTCTCCATTTCCAAATGCTTTTCATTTCTAGAACTATAGAACTTGGTTAGTAATAGGAAAGTATTTATCTTTAAAAATTGTGCACACACATCCACACACATACCCCTCATTCTTGGAAGTATTTTCAAAATAAAAATGTACAGTGATTTCTCCACAATTTAACAGTGGCTCTTTGAAACAGAGGTTGTTTGAGAAAAAGTCTGAATCTTTTAGAGTTTATGATCCACAATCAAAGCATACGGCACACATACAGGGCACGGCAGAAAGAGCACTTCTTTCTTTTTAAAGAGTTAAAAGTGATGCCCAGTAGATAATCTATTTCATACTCTTTGCAATAAAATGAACAATGTCACAAACTCTCTGATGTGCATAAGTTTTTTCAACAGCCCTCAGATGTTAACAGAGTGACCCACCACGTGTAAAATTGTGGGGACATCTCACCTTCCAAAGCAGCCGTGACATTTGCCCTCTCTTTCTAGGTAGTTCCACAGGCCAATGGATTTTCCATTTAAGAAAGCCTCTCCCATGCAGCCTCTGAAATGAGTAACCTTCACGGCAGGAGATTTCTAATGTAAAGAAACAAACACAGAAGCTACATTTAGTTGGTGAAGTGAAAAAAATTCTCTCAGAGCACAAAACTCCCTGAGAGCGATGGAACAGATCTAAATTTTGAGAGAGTAACATTCAGAAAAACGTCCAGTTTGTAATTACTGGATTTCCTTCCAGTTATGAAGTGGGATTTTAGAATGAGCAGGAACTAGACAGGATCTTAAGGATCATCTCAGTTACTAGGGCTGCCAGAGAAAGTTTCTTTTACATACGAGAGACCCAGGGAACATGGTCGGTAGTCAGGGCCCTCAACACGATTCCAGGTCCAAGGAGCTCAACTGCATTTACCAGGTGAGGGATAACAGATGAAATAAATGTGGTCCGCCCCTTGGCTAAGCACCAATTAGGATCAGTCAACCACTAGCTACAGAAACTTTACAGAAATCAACATGGAGTATTGAATTTCCTATTTTGCTATTGGAAAAGAAACCCAAACAACAAAATGAGCCATTGGCTTCTTGTCAGTGATTACACCACTGATCGAGCACCAGCCTAGCTCTGCAGGTGAGCTGTCACAAAGCAAAACAATGGAAGTAGAAAAATCTTCATCTGCCTGGGACCTATGCAACAATTTAAAATATTAATTTTGTAGATGGGTAAAGTCAGCCAATCGGTTCTGTTCGGATCAGCTTTCAAAATGTTACCTTGATCTGTCCTCCCAATCCTCCAACGAACACGAGTGTTGAATTGTTTATATCCAGAACATTGGCTATTCCAGGAGATGTACTTGTTTTGGGTGGTGGCTTTTGATTTGAGCTCATTTCTTTTACACTCAGTGAACCAATGTTTCCAAATCTAAGGGTCACAAAGAATTGTAAAAGGAACTTTCATAATTTTAAGTTGGTGCACATACATTTTCACCTATTTCATCCATAGCCACCATCTACCTGCTCTTCCCAGGCCCCCCACAACAGCACCCCTTATTGGTCTCCCTGCTTCCAGGTTTATCCTGCCCACCCCTGATTTCTCCCCAAAGTCTTGCAGAATAGTTCTTCTGAAACAGACATTTCATATACCTCTCTGCTTAAAAGAGCTCATATGAGTTAAACTGTAATTAAAGAAATATAATATAATATTGACTTCAATATACTATTTTGAAGGAATGAAGAAAAAAAATCACAACAACAAACCATACTATTACAGAAAAGTGAAAAGAAAGAACTATATTGGGTGGCACCTGTAGTTCAGTGGGCAGGGTGCTGGCCACATACACCGGGGCTGGTGGGTTTGAACCTGGCCTGGGCCTGCTAAAAAATGACAACTGCAACAACAAAAAATATAGCTGGGTATTGTGGAGGGTGCCTGTAGTCCCAGCTAAGACCAAGACTTTGAGGTTGCTGTGAGCTGTGACACCATGGCACTCTACTGAGGGCGACAGTGAATCTCTGTCTCAAATAAATAAATAAATAAATAAAGTAAAGTAAAATAAAATAAAATAGCTGTGTGGTGGCTCACACCTGTAATCCCAGCACTCTGAGAGGCTGAGGCAGATGGATTGCTTGAGCTCAAGAGGACCAGCCTAAGCAAGAGTGAGACCCCGTCTCTACTAAAAATAGAAAAATTAGCTCGGCATAGTGGCACATGCCTGTAGTCCCAGCTACTTGGGAAGCTGAGGTAAGAGGATCGCTTGAGAACAAGAGTAGGGCGACAGCTTAAGACTCTGTCTCCAAAAAAAAAAAAAAACAAAAAACACTTCAAGATGCTCAAAAGTATTACCTTTGGAGAGAGAATTTAAAAGGAAGAGTTTTGCTATGTTTCTGAATTTTAAGAAAACACATTCCCCCCAGTCTCCTATCTTCTGGCCCCTCCTGTGTGCCACAGCCAGCCACACGGACTCTCTACCCCGCTGCACTTCACTCCTCTTTACACGGTTGGCTTCCTCAGACTTAGGCTTTCTGAAGGTAAGACAAACTTTTAGACACTTTTGACATTCTAAATAAAGGTAACCTAAACTTTTCATTTTTAATTTTGCTTGTTGATTTTAGTAACAAAGTTTATTTTCTTTGTAATAAAAAAAAGAAAACCCTCATCTCTTTTTTAAAAGGTATTTTAAATTAATTTTTTATCATGTGTATATTTACAAAGTACAAGATAATGTTATGCTTTTTTTTTTTTGAGACAGAGTCTCACTATGTCACCCTCGGTAGAGTGCCGTGACATCACGGCTCAAAGCAACCTCCAACTCTTGGGCTTAAGAGATTCTCTTGCCTCAGTCTCCCAAGTAGCTGGGACTACAGGCACCTGCCACAAGGCCCGGCTATTTTTTTGTTGTTATTGTTGCAGTTGTCATTGTTGGTGAGCAGGCCCGGGCTGGGTTTGAACCCACCATCCCTGGTGTATGTGGCTGGCTCTGTAACCACCGTGCTATGGGCATTGAACCAATGTCATGCTTTTGAATATAAGGTGGAAATGATTAACCATCAGTGGACGAAAAGGTAAAGAGAATGTGGTTTACATACTCAGTGGAATTCTATTCAGCCTGAAAATAAAAAGAAATTTACCATTTGCAGCAAGCCCAATTCCTATAGTTAATCTAAACCAAGTATTCTTTAATTATAATCTAACTTTCCAAAAGTTTCAAAGCCTATTATATGATTTTACAAGCATATGGCTGCTCATTTTAAAAGTTTAAAGAAGAGAGATAATCTGAGAGAGCTTTTTCTGGTACCTGGTTACATGGATGCTGTGCCACCTGTTGTCATCAATGGGGACATCTGGAAACTCCAGCCTCGCTGACCCGGACCCCAGGTCCCAGAGGAAGGCCACCTTCCCCCGCCACATCTCCACTGCAAGGAAATCAGACTGGGGCACAGGGCATGAGTGCGGATGAGTTTTCACACTGGGCTGTCTGCACAACCACCAAGAACAAGTTCTTAGGGTGTTTTCTCTATTATTTTTTTTAAAGCAAAATCTATACAGCTATATTCTTTTGTGTTAAATGCTCCCCTTCCTGGAGCTGGGGCCTGACTCAGAGCACTGGGGACGTCAGTGCCTCCCTTCCTGGACCTGGCATGGCCCCCTGAAGGCCTCTCATAGAGTCCTCAGGAAAACTCACTGGGGGTCCCAGGTGTCCACAGGGAATACAAAGGAGTGTTGTGCTTGTTTGTCTGCCCAGTCTCAGAAGGCAATCAATGGACGAGAAATACACCGGGAGCCAGGACCCAGGAGCCAGGAACTCCTATGTGGTGGACTAACACGTGACCTTCACACCAGGGCTCTGACCCAGCCTACTGGCACAGCCAAACTACCAAAGGTCATCCGCAGGGAACTCGCCGTCAGGGAACCACGGGAATCTTATTGGCAGGAACAACATGGGAGAAGCTTGACAACTGCAATACTCAGTCCCCTCTGGGGTCCTGGGGCCATCACACAAAGTCCTGTCCCCACCACTTGCGATTAAGATGGCAGAGGGGGGCACTGTCCAGAAATATATAACTTTCCTTCTCACAGACATTCAGATTTATAAGTTGTTTTTAATCCTAACACTACCATTTTGGCAAAGGTTAGCTCCCGTCAGTTAGTGATTTGACTAATTCTATTTCTTTTAACCAAGTAAGTATCAATTCAGAAAATCTATAAAAGACTCCCTGCTCCTTTGCACAGGACTGTAACTTACACTGGTGCTGCTGCCGAGGTAGAAGAGAAGGTTGTCCGGTTCACGGGTCTTCACATTCAGTGTCAGGGTGTTATAGTTAGTAGAAGTAATCTGAGGCTGGTAGGCCCGGACGCAGTCTCTGTCCGCAGACACGGCGACTTTAATCTGTAAAAGGAAAAGGAAAGCGTCAGGATTGTCCAGTGACCCACGCAGCAGCCGGCCAAACGTGCATCCTGTGATGAATTTTCCTGGGGGGAAGGCTGCTTCTCTGGATAATGCAGAGTACTCTGCGTTTCACAGGGTGAGCAATCAGATGATGGTAAGGATGATTTTACTTGGTAAAGTGTTTAAATATGGGAAAATCCTCTTTTAATAGGCTATCTTTATATCGGAAACTGTCTCGCGCACGTGAGATTTAATTCTTTAACAATAAGAACCTTATAACCTTGAAATCTTTCCACCTGAACAAAGAAGATATTTGATGAACATTTGGTAAATGGAGAGGTTCACTCAGCAAATATTTATAGAGCAATTATTGCACTTGCCACCTATTTCTTAGATTAGTAATTATTTGCATATTTATCTTACATTAACCTTAAAGATTCTAAGTGTGTATTAACTTCTGCAATCAGAGCCATCCTTTGGGCTGACATCTGTTTGTTTTTGCCACTGTAACTGAAGCAGATGGAAGCCAGAGCTCATTCCTTTTCTAATAGTGAGGACAGTCAGGAGGGGACACAGAGCCCAGAAACTCCTCTTCCCCAGAGCACAGCCAGTGCATGTCCCACGGGGGGCTGTAAAACCTCTCCTCAGCTTTGAACTTCTCCAGATGCCCAGCAGCTTATGCATTTAGCGACCTGGATTTGTGCGACATTTGTGGGTATACGAACTCCCCTCAGACCCCTCGAGGACGAGGACGAAGCCGCAGCCGCACAGAAGACATTCTGAAGAGTATTGGGATTATTAAAACTAAGTTGGTAAAATGAAGAAGCAGCACCATATACAACCGATGAAACTCAGAGGGTCGGTAACACTTGTATCACCGCGTCCTGCTCCCTCCAGGCTGAGGCCTAAATCTAGGCCTACCAATAACTCTGCATAAAGACACGGAGATTTCTTGGCTGATGACGTTTGGAAACCTGCTGATAAAAAGCAAATCTCGAAGAAAATGAGGCAGGTCACTGGTTTAAATGCACCCAGATGAGTCCTGGGGTGAGGACCCGGGGTTACCAGGACCCGGAGCGCCGAGAGCTGAGCGTGCAGGAATTCTCCGGATGGGGCGCGACCCAGCTGGGCTGCCAAGAGCCAGGGATACCGCGACACCCTGGGCCCCAACTCACAGAAGCTGCTTGTTTCCGGGCCTGGCTGATCAGCAGTTTAATTTCTGACAGGTTTCTGCTCAGATTCTCTTCTAACATCTTCAGAGGCTTCAACCGATCAAATAGAAGGTTGGCTTGTGTTTCCACATCTTTAACTTTTCTTTCTGCTAACAGAGCTAGCGAATGCAAGGGGACAAGCGGTGGAAAGGAAGGTGGGTGGGGGAGAAACGAGATAGTTAACTGTTCATCACTAATGCACCAGTAAAACAGAATATCCCAACAATCGTTCTGTGAATTATTGGCAAATACTTGAAAAGCGCACCAGTAGCGTGCATTTACCCCAGGCCCTTCTTTATAAATGCTGACCCTATGTTAGCACGTTTTTCCTTTTAAGGAAGGTTATGAGCAAGGCCCCATTGCATGTTTAGTGAGCATGATGCAAATTTAAAAACTGCAAGGAAGGGCAGGTGCCGCAGTGGCTCATGCCTGTAATCCCAGCACTGTAGAGACGGGTGGATGGCTTGAGCTCAGGAGTTCAAGACCAGACTAAGCAAGAGTGAGAACTCGTCTCTACCAAAACCAGAAAAATTAGCCAGGAGATATGGTGGGCACCTGTAGTTCCAACTACTCGGGAATCTGAGGTAAGAGGATTGCTTAAGCCCAGGAGTTTGAGGTTGTCGTGAACTATGACACCACACACTCTACCACCCACGGTGACAGAGTGAGACTCTGTCTCAATAAAACCCCTCAAAAAACCCTCCAAGGAAGGACACTGACGTACTGGTCAGGTTGGAGTCTAGCAGGAGCTCCTTGGTCTCTCGCAGCGTGGTGTCGACCCTGGACAGGCCGCTCGATGTGTTCAGCAGTGTCTGGCTCCACCCGGCCGCGGCCGCCAGCGTGCTCACAGCGCTCCGGTTTACAGAAGTGGCCAGCTCTTTAGTTTTGGCTCCTTTGTGTCCCACACCTAAAATAAATATATACATATGCACTCTGCTGATCACACACAGAGAAAGAAACAAAACTGGGACGAATACAACTTTACATAGAAACGTGTTACGGCAGTTTGCTATGGTGAATACAAACTGAGCCTTCTCTGTTTTTATCCTCTGGGCAGTGGTCAGTGGCCTACAGAGCTTCCTGTTTTCAGTGGAAATATTACAGCTGCATATAACACGCTCTACTACTTCTTTGTAAAAAGAAAATGAAAACCTCAATGTCATCTCCCCACCAGCCCCTACAACTAAAGTCTGTTTGACTCTGCACTAAAAATGAAATACAAGTTTATCTGCACAGAGAGCAGACCAGAGATGAGAAGGATCTTCCTGAAATTAACATTCTTACTAAAGTTAACAGAAAAATATCAAAATAGAAAATTGTCTAACTCATAGTTTCTCAGTAAGGGATCAATCATACTATCCATACCCCTCCCTCTCTCCCTTGCTGACAGGCACCCCGGGGGGGGGGGCTCTGTTTTTACAGCATCTGGAAAGAACTCAACAGAAAGAAAGGAAACATAAATTTTTAGACCTATTGACTTGAAGCTACTTTTGAAATTCTGTTTTACAGCCTCAAACAGCTCCTGGACAGACAGCCAGGGTGTGAGCTACAGTCCTCAGCTCTTGCTCAAAAAAGGGAAAAAACCCTACTTCTAGGGCAGAATTACTAAGATCACAGCCATCACTGACAAACCTGTCTGTCCCTCTGTTGGGGGCTTGTCACTAGGAAGAGGGAAGGAGCTGATGCGGGGTCCACAGCAGCCTGCGAATTCAGCTACAGCCATAAATCTTCACCCCCTTTACAACCCCTGAAGAAAAAGCCAGAATTCCTGGTGCTCTCAGCCAACAGGATCTCTCTGTCTTTCACCGTGCTGGCTATTTTCCCCACCTAGATAAAGTAAAATAAACTTTTTCTTCTTTCTATCCTGGCCCGGCCTGCACTAGGGCTCCGTGACACTCCTACCCCGGGGCCATGTGGGGAACTGATGCGTCCTTCACTCCCTTCCTCTTCTCCCCGCTTCCTTATCCTGTGTAAAATGGGTGTACAAGAATGTGACTACTTTTTCTCACTACAGCAGTCCCCTCCCCACTTTTTTTTAATGCCCTACTCCCCTTTAAACACTGAAAACTCCAAACTCCACTTTGGAAAAATAGCCACAAGTCTATGTGTGGTCTGTGTTTCTCCCAGGGGTGTCCTCAACTTGGGCTTGATAAACTTCCCCCCCAATCCCAAATTGATCAGGATTTTTGCTTCAGTCACTTGTTTGGATTCAATACTCTTTCAGGGACAGATTAAGTAATTTTTTTTGTTTTTAGACCAAGTCTTATTTTGTCACCCTCGGTAGAGTGCTGTTGCATCATAGCTCACAGTAACCTCAGATTCCTGGGCTCAAGCAATTCTCTTGCCTCAGCCTCCCAAGTAGCTGGGACTATAGGCGCCCACCACAAGGCCTGGCTATTTTTAGACATGGGGTCTTGCCCTGGCTCAGGCAATACACCCACCTCAGCCTCCCAGAGTGCTGGGGTTATAGGACTGAGCCACCACACTTGGCTCAAATTAAATAATTTTTGATCCCAATTCTTTGGCATATGATTTCAATACATGATGAGATCACAAAAGTATGGCTAATCATCCCGTGCTTGGTGTCTTATATGTTAATAAGCTAAATTTCTTTCTTTCTTTCTTTCTGAGACAGAGCCTCAAGCTGTCACCCTAGGTAGAGTGCTGTGGCATCACAGCTCACAGCAACCTCCAACTCCTGGGCTCAAGAGATTCTCTTGTCTGTGCCTCCTAAGTAGCTGGGATTATAGGCGCCTGCCACAACGCCCAGCTATTTTTTGGTTGTAGCCATCATTGTTCTTTGGCGGGCCCAGGCTGGATTGGAACCCGCCAACTCAGGTGTATGTGGTTGGCGCCTTAGCCACTTGAGCCACAGGCGCCGAGCCAGCTAAATTTCTTTATTTGGGTTCTTTTATCACCCTTTGTCACCACCATTAAACATGCTCTCTACCTCATTTCATATCTGGTTAAGAAAGCTTTGTAAAGAAAGTCTGCAGTCAGGAAGGACTTAGGATAGAGGAACGGCCTTTGCTCACAGCATCAACTGGATACAGAAATAATAGCAGAACAAAGACTAAATAGCCATTCAAGGTAAACTGGAATCAGCTGTACTAAAAAATCTGGGTAAGGATTTTTTTTTTAAAGCACTATTAATTTTTAAAGTGTTTTATCACAAATAAGGTGAAACATTAACAGTAGAAAAAGCTAGATAAAGGGTATAAAATGGCCTTTTTATCCTCCTTGAAATTTTTCTTTAAGTGTGAAATTATCTCCAAATGAAAAGTAATTAAATAGTTTAATTAAAATATAGCATATTAGGTCAGGCACATTGGTTCACACCTGTAACCCTAGCATTCTGGGAGGCTGAGGCAGGTGAATTACTTGAACTCAGGAGTTCGAGACGAGCCTGAGCAAGAGCAAGACCCCATCTCTACTAAAAATAGAAAAGCTAGCCGAGTATTATGGCAGGATTCTGTCGATCCAGCTACTTGGGAGGCTGAGGCAAGAAGACTGCTTGAGCCAAGAGTTTGAGGTTGCTGTGAACTATGATATCATAGCACTCTAGCTTAAGGCAACAGAGTGAGACTCTGTCTCAAAAAATATGTAGATATACACCATATTATCCTAAAAGGAAAGGAAAAAATACACTTCCAGATCAGAAAATTCTCTATTGATTCAAAGTAAGAGGTAATTCCAGGGCACTCAGCCCGCCTCTGCCAGACCCTCTCAGACTTATGTCAGAAACTCGGCAGGCAGCACCTTGGAGCAGAGCTTCTGCACCTTGTTGAGACTGTCAAAAAACGCTTAGGAAGAACAAAGGAGAAGTTTGAGGGATATAAATAATGAACTGCAGCACAAACCATTTGTATTACACTTAAAAAATTATCCTACTTAAAATGCTAATGAATATGGCATTACCAAACCATCAATCTGAAGGTGATTGGTGGGCCTATCTCAGAGTGTTCGAATGCCTCATGAAGGAAGATGACCACGTCAGAACTCTTCCACCTCCTGCATTTATAGCGAACCTGGCGCTTTCTCTACAGGCAGGTAAAGGGCAGTCTGGCTTCCTTCCCTACTCATCTTTTTCAATGCTTCTTCTTTTATCTAAGTGCTGTGTCAAGGTCATTTCAAAAATAAGCAATTAAGATGGCTATACAAAGTCTCTCTGTTCTAATATTCTAGTATGTTAGTGTAAATGTTCTGAAGTTATTTAAAAAGAAAGACCCAGTGATCTTCAATTCTCAATCATATTCCTTTGCAAATAAAACCTTTATCAGTCTGGGTCTGATTTTCCAGTGGGGACTCTGGGCCTGCCTCATGCTCCTGTGTGGCGCTCTCACAACGAGAGGGCATTATTAGATCCAGAAACTCCTTTCTACTTACCTTCAGGAATTGCTCTAAGTATCAAGAGGGATTCATTGGTCTGCCTGGTAATTCTGTCAGCATTCTTTTGAAATCTGTTTGCTGCATTTCTCAATTTACTCAGTTCCGATGCAATACCTATTTAAAGAGGAGGGGTGGAAATGTTCTCTTTTAGGTTAGCCCACTAAAAAGTTGCCTAGGAAACAGCTTTCTTTATCACTTCTGACCCATCTACAGAATCAATAGCTTTCTATGGAGAATCCCAAATTTGAAAGTTTTCCAGCAAAACTTAGCACCATCCATTACGGAGATTAAGAGTGTGTTTTTAGCCTGCTTGGTCGTTTTTTCCACCTTGCTTACTGCACTTTCTCACTGATATTTCTTCTTAAATTTCATCCCCAGTTTTGAGCTAAAAAATGAAGAACTGTGTTTAAATCACGCAGTGTTAACCAGACTTACCAGCTCCCTATTCACACTTCATCACGGCCACCTTTCTCCTCTGGGCTATGAAACCCCAAAGGTGGGTTCCTACCAGGAGCTCACTGTCCTCCCTCTGCTTCCCTGGCCATCCCTCTGTCCCTCCCAAACACCCAACTAGGACTCCACTCAATCTCCTCCTCCAGTTTGATAAAACATTTCACTTTTAAAATTTCTGTTCATAATACACAATCACATTTACATTTTGAACACATGGTTAATGTAATTTTTTTTTTTGAGACAGAGTCTCACTATGTTGACCTTGGTAGAGTGCCGTGGCATCACAGCTCACAGCAACGTCCAACTCTGGGCTTAAGTGATTCTCTTGCCTCCCAAGTAGCTGGGACTACAGGCATCTGCCACAATGTCTGGCTATTTTTTGATGCAGTTTTCATTGTTGTTTAGCAGACCTGGGTGTATGTGGCCAGTGCCCTAACCACTGAGCATGGGCACCAAGCTAGTTAATGTAATTTCAATTGCCAAAAAGTTCAGAATTTCATGACCCATGAAGCACCTGTGGTTGTGTAAACTAAAATTACATTTCAGTTTTAAAAATCTGTCAACGCTGATGCTAGACTGGAGTTTGTGTTTAATGTTTTATAATCAAGCATTATGCATTTTCTATACTGTGAGATGACAACATACTTTCTAAATTATGTCACTCACAGAGCAACAGACAAAAAAATATGTGTATGGCTAAGCCCTTGGTTCAGACAGCTGTGGAAGGATCTAGCACTAGACTTGGAAGTAGCCTGAAAAAGGTGTGAGTTTTGAGTACGGCCCACTGATTACTCCTTAGGAGAAGTCTTGATGTTTTTGAGACATTAGCACACATCAAGGTAGAAAATTAATTGTATGCCTTACAATTAATGGAAAATTGGATGCCTATGTAGTTTCTCTTACACAACAGACTGCTGCTGTCGTTTTGGGTTCTGTTTACTGGATAGCTCTTATACCCATCAGGAATTGCTTCTTGAAACTCTTGGGACAAGAGTTGGTAAATCAATCATGATTTCATTCGATAATTATTAAATGAGAATCTCCCATGAGTCTAACATGATTAATAGTCATGAGAGAAAGGTAAAAGAAATAGCAAACGTACTATCTCTTCAAGAAACTGTAAAATAACAAGATAAATGAGGCATGCAGGCAATCAAACAGGACCCAAGGAGCTGTGAAGAACAGTGCGAGCCCCAGGCTAAGGCCATGAGTGGAGAATCTGGTCACTGGGAAGGAAGAGATTTCACTCAGTAAAATCTGAAACTGTACAGAGTTTATAGGAGAGGAGACTGAAAGGTTAATGTGAGAAAGAACTGTTAAGCTCCAAGTCCCAACAGGCAAGGAGAAGCTCGGAGACGAGCTCATGCCCACTCTGCTTGTCAGAGTGGGCCACACTGCAAACCCACCTTGATGCTTTCTGCTGAGGCTGTTGCCTTCTTTTAGAAACTTGGAACTGCGCTGCAGAGCCACTCTCCCATTGGAAGGGAGGGATTCTGAGAACTGGAAAACAGAGCAACATGAACACAGGAGGACAGTGGAGTCGGGTGAGGACTGGGAGCCAACGCCATCACATGAGCCTCCAGCCAAGTTCCCAACGAGAAGCTGGCTGGGAAAATGTTAAGGACAATTCAAGATGGCCCAGGCAAAAGAACTCAAAGAGTTTTTTAAGTGTACAAAGAAGGAAACCAGCCATTCAACAAAGATTTGCACCACAGGTAAAGAAAAATGTCTCAAGTCGATAACATTAACAGCATTATTATTTGTATTACAGAATACAACCCCAGCTCCCACTCTGTATAAAGAAGTACTTACAACATTAAGAAATTAAAGCCCATGTCATACACTGACAGGAGCCCTAACTAGATTCCATCAGAAAAGAATGTTGATCCGCATACATTCGAGCTGCTGAGTCTTTGTTCAAACCTCTTACGGACCAACCTCCTTCAACCGCCCACAGGAAGAAGCCCCGAGCATTTCGTACCAGGCTCACCTGAGTCACAATCCCGTGAGCATCTCTGGCCAGCTTCTCTGATTCTTCAATCAGGCTCTGGAGGTTGGAATAGACATGGGCTGCACTGGTCGCGTTCAGGGACACATGTCTGACATTTTCAAGGTCACTGTTGAATTGGCATATGTAGAAATGTTATGACAAACTAAATCACACTGGCAGAGTCACTCGTGAAAATTCTAAGTGCCCACATTCTCGAAAGTCTCCTAGTTTCTTTCCCCTTAGAAAAAATATCATTAGAAAAAGTGACAACAATTGTGTTCCCCTCTAACTTCAAAAGTAATCTTTCAGAAGCAGTAGCCATATTGTCACGCTGACACTCAGAATTGCAATGTAATCAATACTAAAGAATTGATTGCTGTTTTTCCCATTGATCACTTCCCACTAGCTGCCTTCAGTGTTCCCTGATCTCTGTTCAAACCCCTGCATGTGTCAGGGCATACTTGTTAATTTCCAAACTGCTTTCCTAAACATATATCGGGATCTGAATTTTATCCCTCAAATGTCATACACCAGAGATTTTGGAAGAGGAGGATCAGAAAATACTTCAATCAGCTGAGCTTCATTCTAACAGTTAGTGGTCAAATCACTTAGGAACGTGGCAAAGGTTAACAAGCCCAGTTTCATCCAGCTCGCTCTATCTTAAAAATGAAATCCTGCCATTGACAATCTTTGCTTCCTGAGCAACTCACTTCATTTTCTTTCCAAGGTTATTGAAGTAGAGTGATTTATAGACCAGATGTTAGCAGTTATTGCCTGTTACTACTTGGTTGGCAAAATTCAGTGATTTATAGATCAAGGATAATAATGTTATTTAACTTCGTGTATCATACCAAATTGCTTTTATTACTGTTACACTAAGCAATAACGGTGTTGTTCTAGCTACACATGGACTGGAATATCTCTCCCTCTTTTGAGAAATGAGGAAAGATGATGAAAATAGAGTAGAGAATCTAATGCCATTTTCTGTTACTGATTCCTATAGCCCATGGAGGCAGCAGTGCTCAATTTAGCACATAATTTACATAATATTCCACCTTATATCATTTTTAATTGCTTTGGTTGTGTGAGCTAACCTTCTATGACAGCTTTCCACAAATGGGGAGATACTACACTGTCCCCTTCCACAGAACACACTCACGCACAAAAACACGTGTTCCCAGCATGTGCAGAGAAGAATTCCACTCAGAATTTATAGCAAATTCAAGAAATAAATTTACAAACTAACTTCTGGTATTATATAAATCACTGATGAGCCCTAAAACACCGGTTCCCATATTTGCTGCACATGAGAATCACTGGAGGGTTTTTAAAAATGTTACAAAGCTCAGGCCACATCCTGGACCTATTAAGTCGCAATCTTTGTGGAGAGAGGAACAGGAGATAAAGCCATCGGTAGTTTCTGAAGTTCCCCAGATCCAGTGTGCAGATGAGTTTGAAACCACTGGCATAAAGTGCTTCTCACTCAAATGCTCTTTTAACAATTTATTATCCACAAAATATACATTAAAACATTGATTGTGTCATGATGATAGACGTTGGGTAGTGGAAAATATCAATAATTGGGGTGGTATCATTTTCAGGGTTGGAAAAGAAACTCCCCACACTTCTGTAGGTAGAGGGTGGGCATCCTTCATTTATACAAACAGACACTCCAAACAGGCAAGACCCATCAAGAAATTAATAACCATGCTCCATCTCACATGCAGCTAATCAAAGCCCTGAGCACCAGGAGGTGTTTAACCAAGGATGATTTGTACTAATTCCCATCCAGTTACATTTACAGAGATGGTAAACTATATTAGCAGACATGAGAAGATGTGACTCACATTTAAATAAAACAGAACATCCATTTTTACACAAAGGAAGAAGAGTGATTTGTCACTGTGATCAAAACATCTCTCCTTATTTTCTCTGACTGGATGGCAACCTCCCCAGTCCCTGCAGGGTGTGGTCTCACCTCTCCAGGATGCCGGCTAGTCTTTGGAGCCCAGCGGCATGGTCCTCGGCTCTGTAGACCAGGTCAAGTGCCCTCCTGCTGGACATGCTCATGACCAGCCCATCCACGTGATGCCTGATTTTGGCTGCCCATAAAAGCAGCTCATCCTGGAGATGCTCTAACTGCTGAATGGAGAAATTAACATTGTAAGTGTATGTGTATCTGGTCTAACAGGGGTGTGCGTGTACACAGAGGAGCTGTGTGCAGACTCTCTGGGACTGTGGCGTGGCCGTGCTGAGCTGTGACTTACTGTGAGAGCGCCGGGTGTGACATTTGCATGTGCACTGGCAGCGTCCATCAGTCCTCTTCCGTGGGCAATTAGCTCTGAGGTCAAGTTTTGCTCTTCTTGGACATGAAGCTTTTTATCCTGCAGCAGAAATCACCTCTTAAGGATGCTTCATAAGAGCAAGTCTACTTCTGAACTTTGGTGTCTACTATAAAGCTAGTGCTCAGGCCAGACATGGTGGCTCACGCCTGTGATCCCAGCACTCTGGGAGGCGAAGGCAGTGGATTGCTTGAGCTCAGGAGTTCAACACCAGCTTAAGCAAGAGCAAGACCCTGTCTCTACCAAAAATAGAAACGTTAGCCAGGCATTGTGGTGGGTGCCTATAGTCCCAGCTACTCAGGAGGCTGAAGGAGGATTGCTCAAGCCCAGGAGTTTGAGGTTTATAAGCTGTGATGCCATGGCACTGTACCCAGGGCAACAGAGTTAGACTGTCTCAAAAAACAATAATAAGAATAATGGTGCAGGGCACAGTGGCTTACACCTATAATCCTGGCACTCTGGAAGGCCAAGGCAGGGGGATTGCCTGAGCTCAGGTGTTTGAGACCAGTCTGCGCGAGAGCAAGACCCCATTTCTAGCACCTCTGGCTCAGTGGGTAGGGCACCAGCCTCAAATACCAAGGGTGGCAGGTTTGAGCCCAGCCCCGGCCAGCTAAAAAACCAGCAATGACAACTACAACAACAATAACAAAAATCCGGGCATTGTGGCGAGTGCCTGTAGTCCCAGCTACTTGGGAGGCTGAGGCAAGAGAATCACTTAAGCCCAATAGTTGGACATTGCTGTGAGCTGTGACACCACAGCACCCTACTGAAGGCGACAAAGTGAGACTCTGTATCAAAAAAAAATAAAAGAAAAGAAAGAAAGAAAAATAAATAAATAAAGTAAGTTAATGCTGGGGCTCAAAGTTTTCAGAAGCTAAAAATGATGTTGACACAGGAGAATCTGATTACCAGTTCTAACCAAGCAGGACGGAGCCCGTCAGACTCACCTCCAATTCTCTCAGGTTGGCGCTGGCCACGAGCAGCAGACGGTCACTTTCCTGCCTCTTTCCCTCTGCGTCCTTCACCAGCGTCCCGGCTGCCTGCAGCTGTCCACTGTGCTTGGCCAGGAGCCGGCTGGCTACTTCTTTCAACACCTCCAACTCTTCCTGTGGCTTCTGGTAAGTTTTCTGAATTTGTGACAGCAAGTCTTCAGCAGCCCTGATAAAGGTGAACAGTCCCCACAGTAAGCAAATGAACAGCAAAACTTGTCCTTTCACAGGACAGTGGAAGGAATTTTTACGTATTCATACCACATTTCTTCTGGAAATCATGGTACAGCATAACTATTTAAGCATGGAAATAATTTTTCCAAGATAGCTACAGATACAGAACATTTACACTTTACTCTTAACAAATTATTTTTATTCATAAACTTCCTAACACATTTTAGTAACGGCATCGAAAGACATCATCTCAGTGAATCTGGATTCAGAAAATTGGGACCACAATCTGTGTTAGTGACAGGAACTGCAATCTTTCTTCAGAATGTGGCAAGAGATGAACAGGAGACTAATCAGCGATTTGCTGTGAATTCACCAGTCTATTTTTATGACATAGAGGGTTTTCTACACCTAGTTAAGAAACAGATTTTATAAAAGCTTTCAAATTCAAATTGCTAAAAAGATATCATTTTTACCATGATAGAAGTAAGCATTAGGAAATAAAGATTTTCTCCTATTTCTTTATAAGTATGCTACCAAATTGTTTATTTAGATTAACTTTGAATTCATGGCAGTGTGAATAAAACTTCATACTACAAATTCTTGCAGTGGTTGAATACAGCCCATTAAGGCTCTGCTCCAGTTTGTCAGGAGAACTTGGAAAAACTGCATGGAGAATGCCTTGTAAAACATCCTCACCTTTCACAGATACCAGATCCCTGGGTTAAGTCCCATCTGACAGTATTTCTCAAGGATATATATTTTAACTCTGACATCATTAGAATAATTAGGAGCATTTACATGTACTTATAACTTCTACTTATAAAGATGTTGTGCTATGAAAGAGGTAATGAGATCTAAAATGGATACATGAAAAACACAAATAAAAACAATATATTTCTCTACTGTCTGATCACGAATCTGTCATTCCTGATCATTAAATAAGGTATCTCAGGCCGGCATGGTGGCTCATGCCTGTAATCTTAGCACTCTGGGAGCCGAGGTGAGCGGATGGCCTGAACTCAGGACTTTGAGACCAGCCTGAGCTACAGTGAGACCCCATTTCTAAAAATAGCTGGGCATTGTGGCAGGTGCCTGTAGTCCCAGTTACTCAGGAGGCTGAGGCAAGAGAATCACTTGAGGCCAAGAGTTAGAAGTTGCTGTGAGCTATGACACCACAGCACTACCCATAGCAACAGAGTGACTCTTGTCTCAGATAAATAATAAATAAATAAATAAATAAAGTATCTATCTGAGCAAGTTTAAAATAAGGTCAAATTTTCATGTATGACATGACTTTACTCTCTCAACTATAATGAGATGAAACGATAGTCCTTCAGTGGCTGGGACAGGAGTAATGAACAAAACCCTCGGACTTTTTGTTGGCTTTTTCTTATAAAATGTGTTCAGTTAACAGAATACAACAGTATTTCTGAAACTACATTTCGCCACAGCACTAGTGTCCCATAGATTGTTAAGCAGATCCCACGAGGAAGGGCTGTGTGGTGACCTGTGACCTCGTCCCCAGTCCGCCCCATGGTTCTGATGTGTCAATGTAAGGAAAGAGCTGAGAAAACCTGCCACAGAGAACTTGTCTTTTCTTAGCAGACTTTAAGAAAAGTTTAGTTTAGTTTGTGCTTCTCCAAACTAGCCTGGCCATTGAACACATTCTTTTAATGAAATCTCTTTTAATAGCTGTGGTGGCACCAGAGCTATTTGAAAACAGCTACAAACGATGATCCCAAGTGTGCTCTGAAGAGTCAGTGTGGCAGGCCCAGTCTGCTGTCCCTAAAGGCCGGCGTGTTCCCACTGTCTCCACCTGATGAGAGTGGGTCCCCCCACCCCGGCTGTTTGTGGGAGCCATGTGGTTCATGTGAACACCTGCTTTCTTTCTAGGGCTCTGGACGTTTGGTACGTGCCAGGCAGAGGGTGCTTGTAAGACTGGCCCCCATCAAACCTTGGAGGCTGAGCCCCCGATGGGCTTCCCTGGGACGCAGCATCTCACATGTGTTGCTGCACTTTGCTGCTGGGGAGAGAGTACTCAGGGACCCCTTGGGGGTCACGGATTCTCCCTGACGCCTGCTGTGGTCTTTCACCCAATCCTGATGTGCACCTTTACTAAATCTTAGCTGTGAGTCCAGTTCCAGGCTGATTTGTGGGCGTCCTAGTGAAACTCTGAATGTGGTACTCATCTCGGGGCTCTTTCAGACAAGCATGAAAACCAGGAGATTTGTGTGGTAATCTTCTCACCTATAGGATCACCATATTTCAATGTGAACTAAGAGTTCAATTTAGCAGATAATTCCCATTTTACCATAAGGACACATGCACTAAAATGTTTATCGCAGCTCAATTCACAATTGCCAAGATGTGGAATCAACCCAAGTGCCCAACTCATGAATGGATTAATAAACTGTGGTATAAGTATACCATGGAGTACTACTCAGCTGTAAAAAGATGGAGACGTTACATCTTTTGTATTAACCTGGATGGATTTGGAGAACATTCTCTGAGTAAAGTATCACAAATTGGAAAAGTAAGTATCCAATGCATTTAATACTAACATAAAGCCAGTAGATGATCTAATACACACCCACATAAGAGGAAACTCAAACTCAAGTTGGGGGGGAGGGGAGATGGAGGAGGGAGGTGACTGGTAAGCTCTTACCTACAGGCATAAAGTGGGGGTACATGGCACATCTCCTGGGTGAGGGGCACAACTACAAGTTGAATCTTACCTAAGAAATGCAAACAATGTAACCTAATCATCTGTATCCTCATACTAAACTAAAATAAAAAAAAAATTTCCAAAAGTGGATAATTCCTCAAATAATACATGTAATTTGAAATGGCATAAATATAGGGGTTATCAAGAAGTAGAGGACAGTGAAGGCATTTTAAACTCTTAATTTTTTTGTTATAAGAGGTCTCTTCAGTAATAATTTTACTTACAAAGAGACAGATCAGCTCTCTTATTAATAACTGTATTCCAAAGAGAATGAGAAGAGCTGCAGTGATGATGGAGAAGGGAGTCCCAGAGGGAGGCCCCCCGTTGGTGGAGGGTCTGGGAAATGAGGGAGGGTGTAGAGGGGACAGTGGGGGTGCTGATCTTGCCTCCCAAGCGTATAATAAGTAAATGAACTTTCTCCATAGGACCAGGAGCTCCTACTGGGCAGAAAGGCCCAGTCATTCCCCCTTGTATCCCCAAAACTTAGCACAATGCCTACCACCCCCACCTGGGGCTCAACCCATTTTGTTGAATGAATGAATGAACTCACAGAAGAAGGGTAATGGCGGAGAGAACAGGACAGAATGACTCCTTAGGACCTCCAGCGCTGACCTGGGCATCTCTGTCCTGAACAAACTCCCTTACCCCCCAATGCAGGTGTGTGGGGAGCTGGGGAAGGTTAAGGAGCAGGGCCAAGCCTGGCGTGGCTGCCTCCAGGGTGATGGGCAGGTCCTAGGAAGATCTGCGTGGAGGTGCTGGACAGAGAGCTGCAGCACCAATGTCAGAGTCACGGGTTGCCAGGGTAACTGCCCATGCCTCCCCCAGGCTGTGCAGACTTCAGCTGAGCTTCTGTGCAAGCACCACACCTCTACAACCACTCTAGATTGTGACTGCATTTACCTGTACCCCCAAAGCCTTAGGTATTTCTGTCTAGATCCTACCCACGTATCTTTCACGGTCTGGGTCTCAGATGGTACTTTCTTCTGTTGTGGGTTGGAACATAAGAGTTTACAGTGGGAGAAATTCAGGTTTGTGGTCAGGGTTCATATTGTCCTGGTGGTTTAACACTGAGCAAGTTACTTACACTCTCTGGGCCTCAGTTTCCTAAAATGGATTCTCCCCTGCCTGGAAAGGCCAAGATGATTACAGGGCCCGGGGTGGGGAGCTGAGTGCTGGTGCTCGCTCCACACAGAGGAGGGAGCGTCTTCCTGGACGGCAGCCCAGTCCCCGTCTCCTGGAACCTCGCCCTCCTCTGACCTCCCCCCAAGGCATTTAGTTCACAGTTCTCTCAGAGACCTTCCCAGCCTTAACTATACTGTTCTGAAAACCAGTCCTCTCTCTAAACCACATCCAACTGCAGGCTCCTCCTTTGGTTTTTCACCTAACTAATCAGCAACATCAAAAATTATGCCTAATGACAAAAAAAAAAAAAAAAAAGATGGACACCCAAACCTCTCGTGTGTTGCTGGTAGAAGTGCATGTTGTTTTTAAAAACTATTGTAGAAATAATTTGGAAGTGAATGTCAGGGTGCCTCAAATGCAAATTCTTGGACTAAATAATTCTACTTCTTTATGTCTACACTGATAAGGTTATAATCTGAAATATGGGAAAAGACAGAAACATACATGGTATAAATACTGAATATAAATATTTAAATATACAGAAAACATTGCACAAGAAGTCCAGCACAAAATAACTTATGAATAGTTTAAATGTGTTGCTATATGGAAGAAAGTTTAATGTGAGGTGCCTGTAATTGTTTACGGCAGTGCTTAAGACATTCATCATAACCTGGAGGAGACCTCACGGCTTGTGCTCTTAAGTTTTGTTTTTTTTAAGAGACAGAGTTTCATTTTATCATCCTCGGTAGGGTGCTGTGGCATCACACAGCTCACAGCAACCTCCAACTCCTGGGCTTAGGCGATTCCTTGCCTCAGCCTCCGGAGTAGCTGGGACTACAGGTGCCCGCCACAACGCCCGGCTATTTTTTTGTTGCAGTTTGGCCGAGGTCGGGTTTGAATCCGCCACCCTCAGTATATGGGGCCGGCACCCTACCCACTGAGCCATAGACGCCACCCTTAAGTTTTAACTGTGGGAAAATACTTGGAAAAAAGCCTGAAAGGAAACTCCACACTCCTTGGGACTTTGTAACAATCATTTGTGACCCCTGTGTCACCTCCCACCATGGCCTTGGGTGAGGGTTTGTGTAACAGCTCAGTTATTCCTGCAAAATGTGCATGTGTCTTAGCATTCACAGCATGGACAGCTGTGGACCATCCTTTTTTCTATAACACATATAAGTACCACATGTTACAAGTTATAACACAGAACTCAATCTATAACACATATAGTGCCAAGAGCCTCTTTTGTTTGTGCTAGGTAGAAATACTCCAGAGTCACAGAAAAAAAGAAAAAAAAAAAGGCAGAACCCATTGCATCATAGCACAGAGACAAATTGTGCTGGGTGCGTTGACTGTCACTTTTCTGCCTTTAGAGGGGTCTGTATCCATCTCACTTGAACCTTACTTGAAAACAGGGACCCTGCGCCTCTCTTACAACGTCCCACCCCCAGGCAGCACTGTTCTTTCCATTATGCCTTCTTCTCCGTGGGAGGGAGCACCCCAGCCTCTGTCCCTGGGAACTTACTTGAGTTCCAGGGTGACATTTTGGTGCAACTGTAGGAAGTGCCTTTTCCGTATGGCTTTGAGCAAAGAGGAAATGTCCTGCTGCATGTTCTCCAGCACCGAGCTAGGCAGCTGGAAATCTCCATCCAAAGTCTGATTTAAAGTTGTTGCCTTTTCAACAGTTTCTATGGAGAAAATCATCAATTATACAGTACTAAATGAAAAACTTAGAACCTTCTTTGGTAAGTGCTGTTCTGTTCACCTAAGCCGGGCTGGACCTCCAGGCCCAGCCAGGGACTTGGGATAAGCGGTTTATTGAATCTGAGTCTTGCCAAGTACTCATCGTCTCCCTGAGGGCAGGGTCCATCGTGTGTACCTGGCACAGACGCTGACACACAGAAGTTCTTAATAAGTAATTACATAACTTAATAGCACTTCTTCTTAATGAAGAAACTACCAATACTTGATAGTATTATTAATATGATTTGTTTTAATAATTTTCTTACCTTTGTCCTATAAAGTCTGACTTGCATAGGATTCTCTTTCTCTCTCTCTCTCTATATATTTTTTTTGGTTGCAGCTGTCATTGTTTTTTTGGTGGGCCCGGGCTGGATTCGAACCTGTCACCTTAGGTGTATGTGGCTGGTGCCTTAGCCACTTGAGCCACAGGTGCCGAGCCAGGATTCTATACTTTTTAAGGCATTCTACCATAATTCAAAAAGAAGGCAAAAATGTTTCTAGTAGCCAGAAAATTGAAAATAGCATGCTAAAAGCCAGAATAGATCCCACTGAGGCGTGATAAAATTTACTCTAATGTGGAAGATTAATGATGGCACCAAATGGAAGCCCCAAATCATATCAGCTCCTACTCTGTGCAAATGGATGGCGAGATATCTGACTTTACCATAATGGGGTGTGAGAATTAACCATAATACAGAAAATTTAAAAAGAAATATGCATTTCTTTTTTTTAAGGTTTTAGCCAGGGCCAGATTTGAACTCACCACCTCTGGTATATGGGGCCGGTACCTTACTCCTTGAGTCATAGGCACTGCCCAAAATATGCATTTTTTTTTTTTAGCAGTTTTTGGCCGGGGCTGGGTTTGAACCTGCCACCTCCAGCATGTAGGGCTGGTACCCTTCTCCTTTAAACCACAGGCACTGCCCAGATGCATTTTTTTAAAGCTAAAATTCTCTGTCAAACACTACAGCCTAGACATTTCAAGATCCCCCAAATATGGAATATTCCAGGCTTTCGGTTCTAGGTAACCCAGCACAAGGCACACACGGCTGTACATTTATTTGAAAGCCAATGTGACTCTTCTTACTAGAAGAGCGCAGAGCCCCCAGACCAGACACTGCCCACACTACCTTGGATGTTCCTCTGCAGCCTCTCGATGAACGCGGCCAGGTCCCGAGTCTCTTTGAGGATTCGCTCAGTTTTCTTATTCTCCTTTTGGCTACTTGTTAACACTCGAGTGAGCTGGCAGAAAATTAGTTTGATTGTAAATAATAGGGAAGCTTTGGTTTCCAGTTGTCGCCTCTTCTAAGCAACAAAATATTATATAATCCAGAATATAGAGTAGAGGTGTACACCATCATGGGAACCAAGGTTAATATCTGGCATTACAAATTATTGACTAAGTGGTTAACAAAATACGTTATTTACAACCCACCCAGTGTGAGAGAAGATGGTATACTTTTATTTCATTTTACTTATTTTTCTTGAGACAGAATCTCACTTTGTCACTCTCGGTAGAGTGCTGTGCTGTTGTAGCTCACAGTCGTCTGAGCAAAAGCGAGGCCTCATCTCTGAAAATAGCCAGGCGTTGTAGTGGGCACCTTTAGTCTCAGCTTCTGGGGAGGCTAAGGCAAGAGGATCACTTGAGCCCAAGAGTTTGAAGTTGCTTGAGCTCAGGCAAACAACCCGCCTTGTACTCCCAGAGTGCTAGGATTACAGGCATGAGCCACCATGCCAGGCCTGATGCTTTATTTTTAAAAGCAGTGGAATTGGCTGTCAAACCACAGATTTTTCCAGAATCTATACTGAGAAGATCCTCTATTCACTTTAGGACCCAAATATGCAGAATACAGAAAGCAAACTTTACTAATTTGTGTGGTGTATGAGACTATTGTCTCTAGAGATTAAGAACATGGAGTCAGGCAAGGTAGGAGTTAGACCTGATTCTGCCAGCCCGTGGACCTGGATATCACCAAGCTCTATCTGTAGTGCTGGGGTGACAATAACACTTGCCTCCTGGGGCCATCGTGAGAACTCAGCAAGATGATGGGTAGAAGCTGGGGCTGAGCTGCCCTCAGCTGTTACTTTTATTGGGAATTTTATAATTTGTTGAAAGAAAGATTGTCTGTAATTTTCGAGAATGTAAAGTAACTGAGATAGGGTCTAAAATCGTTTTTTAGTTAAGACCAAAGAGAATCTCCTTTAACAAACAGAATTTGTTTTAATCAGCTTATCCCTTCCTACCAATGTTTGCTTGATGAGGTGCTTAAAGTCCCCACTTAAACCCTCAGACATTTTCCAAAGCATCATTAATTCTGAATTAACAGGAAGCAAGCTAGTACTTTTTTAGGGCCTGTGGTATGTGTGCGTGTTGAGAGACGGACCAGACATACCCAGGTGTATGTGATCCACAGATATACGACCGCATTTTATATACAGACATGTGCGTATACACGTGCACACACACAATTCATAAGTGAAAAACAGTCCTACCTCCTCAGCTGCAGAAGAGATTCGTGTTTAGGTCACTAAAAGCCATTCACATGGCACAGGCTAAACAGTATAAGTAATTCCCCAGTGACATAAAATGAGCTCACTCGCCATTCAAAGTCCTAAAGTCCGAACCACCCTGAAGCCTGAATGTTGCACAGACACCGTGTCATAAGGACTGTGCCCTGCTGGCTCAGCCCAGAAGTCCCCAGAGTGCCTCACAGGTGTGCGGCGGCATGCCTTGTGCTCACCACATGCTCGGTTAAAGACTGAATTTAGGAGAAGAAACCCCAGGGATTTTTTTAATCCTGTTCCACCTCTACGCTGTGGTTCAGAGGAGAAATTGGAAGCCCAAGAGCAGAGTGACTGCCCAACTCTTTTGTCAGCAGAAGTGACAACAGAAATTAAGGCGGAAGCCTTTTCCCAAGAGAGCACAACCACCGGTAGGGGTAAAACCAGTTTAATGATAAAATACCTGAAGCACAGCTCCTGGGAAGGAGAGGCTGCATGACCTAAGCAGACCCTTCCGGACGGCCCCAAGGCAACTGCTCATGAGTTTTGGAAAAGAACCAGTTGCCGGTTCTTTATGGAAGAAATTTACCTTCTTTTGCAGGTTGTCTGTCTCTTTCGCAACACTTTCAAGTTTAAACTTCGCCAGTTCCTTTTGCATATTTTCTTTCAATAATGATTCCTAAGAAGAAGGAAGGAAAAAATTACAGTGCCCCCAAGTAAAATGCTCTGGTTCTTCAGTGAGAAGCACTGATTATTTCCTTTTTGGATCACAGAAAAAATTTCTTCTTTCCTTGAAACTGTCATTAATACAAAAGAAAATAGGTCCAGGTGCGGTGGCTCACGCCTGTAATCCCAGTATTCCGGGATGCTGAGATAGGAGGATCCCTTGATCTCAGGAGTTCAAGACTAGCCTGAGCAAGGGGGAAACCCTGTCTCTAGAAAAATTAAAAAAACTAGCCAGGCAGGCGGTGCCTGTGGCTCAATGGGTAGGGCGCTGGCCCCCTGGTGGACTTTGTCTTATTCCACAAGCAGACGCAGAACCACAGGGCAGACTTATAAGGAGACATCTAAGGGGTAACTCAAACAACCAGAGTTGCCCAGCAGAGAAATAAGTTAGTGTGTGAGACAGGGAGGTCCCTGTTGCTGGTCTCGGTCCAGGGAAGCAATGGAAGTGAGGCTCCTGCCGTGGCCGGACAGACAGAGCGACCCTTCCCACCCACTGACTCTCCAAGACATGGGATCCACATTTCCACTGGCCTCTGTATCCCCAGGACCTACCCGGAGATCCTCAGTTGTGTTTTCCAGTTTGGACAAAATTCCATAGGGGAGGGAGATAATGCCCGTGAGGTTCATAGAAAGAACGGCATCGCTAATGTCGTCCAAGTTGTTCAGCAGCACGCCGACACACTCGTCATCACAAGCTGAAAGAAAAAGAAACAGAGTTAATAGAATGTGATCTGCCCAAACTCCCAGGGCCTGCACGAGCCACTCTGTGATCACTACAGGTGCCAGAGCACACGGTGAGACCCCACAGCGCCTCTGAGCTCATTCACCCCAGCTGTGCCATGGGGGGACGGCAGGAAGGGCGAGCCTCTGTTCTCTACTGATGATGCCAAGACTCAGATCAGGTAAGTGGCTTCCCTGGGACACACAGAAAGAAACAGCTGAGCCTGAGAGTGGCGCCCGGGGCTGCCTCGAGGTTCCCCCCTACACCTACAGTGGCTTGCACATTGGGACCCACTGCAGTGGAACCCCGTGTTTCCTCTCAGAGCTGCTCTGCACCTCCTCCGACAGTTTGCAAGTCCAAAGGAAGGACACTGGAGAAAATAATGGGGGTGTTTGTGCTGATAATAAATGCAAAATCAAAAGTGGAAAAACTCCCTGATGCCATGACCCTAACCTTCCTTCCCTCACCATGAACCACTGAGAAGACATCCCTTGTGCACTGGCTGGAAAAAGAAATCAGAACTGGAAAAACCAAACAAAAATCCATAATAGCCAGGAGCAGAGGCTACTGTGAAATCTGGGTAACACAAATGAAGTCCCACACAGGTGTGTTCTCTCCTACTCCGGCACGCTTTCGGCTCCACCAGGGGAAGTATTAATGTGGTGAAACAAGGAAGCTGAGATTACTGAGCTGCTTTGAGTGCCTGAGAAATAAATGCTGGCCTCTTAGGACCTCCTGCCTCCCCCGAAAAGGCACAACTAAAGTTCAGTTCAGCTGAGGCAGCAGCAACCTAAGCTTAGGAAATGATAAAATAAAAAAATAAATCAATAGCACATCCCGTATCCTGCTATGTGACAGGGTGACATTCCACTTCTTTCCTCACACATTTGAAAGGAAGAGTCACTATTACACCTTTACAGGAGAAATACCCACAGACACAGTTGCCTTCCACCAGTGTGTGCCTCGGCTCACAGTCCTCACACCGGAGCCCCGAGGTCCCCGGCCTGCACATGCACTGCCCGGACGCACGGTCACACTCGTTGTGGACAGAGCCGTGGGGGCTGCAGTCACACTTTTGGCAACTGCCCCCTGGCATTTGAGGGTTTCCATAGTAGCCCGAGGAGCACCTACAAAAAAGAAAGGATGTAGGGATGGAGAGCTCGGTCAGCACAGGGAAGTAACGCCATGGCCAGCTTTGCCCCAGTACAGCGGGCACTTCTGTCAAATGGAACAGGAAGCCCACAGGACCGTTAGCCCCAGGAGAACTGATTCTGGGATGGTAACAAGGCCCCATAGCAATCCTGCACATCTGATTTGATAATGACGCCCAAAGCACTGTAGTAAATACGTCTAACACTTCGTAAGAGGAGACACACCCAGCAACTTCCTCCTAACGATTCAGCAGCATACCTTTCACAGTACTGCCCTTCGTAGCCCGACAGACAGGCGTCACAACGGAAATCACTGTCACCCTCCAAGACGCAGGTGGGGCTGAAACTGGAAGGAAAGCATTTCTCATTGAATGTTCAGATGTACAACTTCCAATCTTGAAGGTACGTATTCATTACTCTTAGAACAGACCCACCAACCTGTTCTCAAAGTTACGTGATTACACTGGGTGACCACACAGGCGTTTTAGAGCTTCCCTCTACAAAGAAGGGGAAGATAAACAAGAGACGTGTAATCAAGGGAAGTGTCGGGCATGTCTCACTCCCAGAAGACATTCACGAGGCCCTGCCTAGTGCCACCCGTGTGGGTGCTGAGCAGGAGAAAGTCACCCAGCAACTTAGTAGGTGACAAGAGGGAACAACTATGAGCCAGGCTGAAAAGCAGCAGGGAGAAGGGGGCTGAGCAAGTGCTGCTGAAAAGAACGTTATTGACTATAATGAAAGGCAAGCAGGACAAGTCATCGGTAACAAAGGCAAGGATGGGTGTGGAATTTGAAAATAAATGGACTTAAAGATAGGGAGAGAGACGGCTCAGTGCCTGTGGCTCAAGTGCCTAAGGCACCAGCCACATACACCTAAGGTGGCGGGTTCGAATCCAGCCCGGGCTGCCAAACAACAATGATGGCTGCAACCAAAAAAAAAAAAAATAGCCGGGCGTTGTGGCGGGTGCCTGTGGTCCCAGCTACTTGGGAGGTGGAGGCAGGAGACTCGCTTGAGCCCAGGAGTTGGAGGTTGCTGTGAGCTGTGATGCCATAGCACTCTACCCAGGGGGATAGCTTGAGGCTCTGTCTCAATAAATAAATAAATAAATAAAAAGATAGGGGGAGAGTCAGGTGGCAGGCTATTAAAAGCAGAATGGTGGAGCTACTCAGAATTTAATACTCTATTGGAATCCTTTCTTTCTCAGCAGCCTCTGCCTCCACATTTTCTATTACTCCTGCGCCATCTAGAGGATAAACTGGGTACCTGAACTCCATTGGCAAAACAAAAACTCCCCCAAACCCAAGTCTAGTTCTTTTTTGGCTAGTAAGATGAAGTTTCCAGCATGAGTTATCAGCCCTACGCCAATTCTGATTTTTTCCTTCCTTAACAGTAAAGGTTCACACTTCAGTGGAAACACAAAATATGTAGAAAATAAAGCATGTATTTTGCCGTCTCTCAGACTCAGAGTGCACATACAATGTTCACATCCTCACAGTCTCTTCTTAGCAACCCAAACTTTAATTATTAAAGTGGGCCCTGGAAGATTAAAGAAATGAAATATTCACATTCACAAAGCAGAAGGGTGAAGTATGCTTCCAAATATTTCTCTGGGCACGTGTAGCCAAGGATATACATATGGATGTGAATTTTTTCCAAAGTGGTATCACACTACCTATTCAATTTCATGCTTCACCTGGCCATTTCTTCAACTGTATGCCTGCAAATCTACCTTAATGTGCTTTCAATGTATGTAGAATATTTCACTCTAGGAAAGTGCTATGATGTATTTAATCAGTCCCCTATAAGGAGATATTTCCATTTCCCCCAATTTCTTAAGCTATGCCAAGATACATTCATCTTTACATATATACACAGGTATTTCTACAGCATAGACTACAGAAATGGATTTGAATCAAAATTTTTATATAGATTCAATACAAAAAATATACTAATAAATGTTAGGATGCCTGATAATTTGTAAGGGAAGTGTAGCCAGTGCCTGCCTCTCATTTGGTACTTACCATCAATCATCACTTACTTGGAGGCAATAGAAAATAGAAGATTCAAATAAATATTAAAAAGAAAACTTCATTTTAGTATACCAAAAGTTGCCATTTGATCTTTACATGTTCAATCCCTTGCCAAAGACTCTAAGCAATAGTAAAATGCTATTTATGAAATACAATTTTCATTTGAACCAAAGAGGACCCTTTGATATTCTCATTCCCATTTAACATCTTTGGTTCTTTTTTGCATTTAGGTAATTCCGTTCAAGCATTCTGAGTACAAGGTAGAAACCTGTTCTGATTTCAGGCACTTAATGAGGACCCAGCATACATAAATCCTAACCCCATTCCCTTAAATAGTAATTGGATTCTTTTGTATTATTATTCATAAAATTAACAATTTCTATGCAGACTGGATACATAAGCTGGGGGCTACAATTAGTCTTAAAAAAAAAACTAAAGCTAGAACCCCTGTCTTTAATTGAATCGGTTCCATTCTAACATTCAATACCAACAAAGATCCTCTGCTTTTGAAAAGATTCTCGCCCTGTAATGATGAATGTTTTTCTTACAATTAACTTTTCTTGCTCCACGGAGGATATTCACTAATACAGACCGAAGCAGCCCCAGTGACCCGGCATGCCAAGCTGCACCTGTGTGGGCTCACCTGGCAGGGTGGCTGTGAGGACAGGTGCACACAGAACAGTCGCCGGCCAGGCCAGTCACCTTCCCGTAGTAGCCGGGAGCACACACGTGGCAGTGGTCACCCGCCGTGTTATCGCTGCAGTTCTGTGACCCCACATTTCAATAGAAGAAAGAAACAATGGAAAACTGTTAGAAACCAATCTGGTAACGGCTGAGCACCACCACCCACGTCTCGTATCAGCTGAGTTTTGTATTTATTCTTCTTCTTAAGGAAGGAAGAGCAGTTTTCTTCATATTTTTTAAATCCTGGAAACATTCTTAGCTCCATGACCTTCACTCATTTTAAGACTGAATTCATCCAGTATGGCCTTTATGAATCTTAAAAAATGGATTTGACTATACAGTGACCTCAAACATGATTAGAAGCACCAATTTTGCTCACAGAATTCAATGAGCACATGTAGGGAACTGAAGTGAGCAGATGATTTAGGAAACAGACAAGGAGGGAAGAAAACTCACGACTCGGAGCACCACTCACAGGCCCCTGTAACAGCCAAATATGTTTCCATTAATTGTTTTTTTAAGAGACAGGGTCTTGCTAAGTGGCCCAGGATTCCAGACTAAGGTGATTCTTATGCCTCAGCCTCCTGAGTAGTTTCGACTACATGCCACCCTGCCTAGAAGTTCCAGTTAAACTTTCTGTAATCATTTGGACAGTGGTCTTCCTATTTAAAAAAAAAAAAAAAAGAACACATTTTATAAGTTAAAAAAAAAAACACAAGAAGTTGTTGCCATCTGGCTCCAATTTAAAAGCTTCCTTTGCTCCATTCATCACTACTGACGCAGGCCCCGTGTGCAGGAATCCTCGTCTGGGGTACAAAAGGCGGGTGCCACTGCGGGGCCCCGGACACACACTCACATTCACTCAGACTTCTGTCCTTGGCAGTGAAAGATGATATGGAAAGATATCCTTTTATATGCTTTAAAAAGCCTGCTATTTTAAGTTTCTTTTAAATAAATAAAAATTCCAGTGCTTTCCATTTTCAAATTGTATTCCTGTTTTACCTCACGAAAATCAATTTTCCTGGAATCCACTCAACCCCTAATGCTGACCTCTCTTTAGAAGTAAAATTTTCAACCTCTCTCTCACAAAAAGTAAACATGCTCAATACTTGTTTTAATGACACAGCCTAAAGCTTACAAGGGAAAAGGGAAAAGCATGGAATAAGCAGAGAACACTGGAACGGATTCCGGGCTTCTCTCTGCTAACACCAGCTCCAGCATTAACTGCCCCGTACGTATGAAGGGCTGCAGGCTTCCTAGACAGACGAAGGCAAGCCGCCCAAAAGCAGAAAATTAAGGGCCTATTAGTGAGAACTGAAGTGTGGGCTCGGTTTGTTGCTGTGGAACATGCACAGAGCAGGTTCGCCAGTTTTTCAGGGGTGCAAAAAGGTTTAGTTGTATGTCTAGCCAGGTGTTGTGACAGGCGCCTGTAGTCCTAGCTGCTCAGAAGGCTGAGGCAAGAGGATCTCTTGAGCCCAAGAGGTTGAGGCTGCTGTGAGCTATGATGCCACAGCACACTACCCAAGGCAACAGAGTGAGACTCTGTCTCAAAATAAATAAATAAATAAAGTCATATGTCCCGGGTGACAGGGAGGGGAGCCTGCACCATCTCCCTGGTCCTCAGTCTCTCCACCACCTTCCAAGGGGTACTTCCCACCAATGCCTGCTAAGACCTGAAGTAGGGAGGAATATCCTAGGTACCAGATGGCAAACCACACCCCAAATGGTGCTGATGCCACCTGTATGACGATAAGCACAGGGAAGTGGGTAGGAGATTCTGTTATAGGGACAGGAACTTTCACTACACCACAAAAGGTGAAGACCAAGGAGGGACAGGAAGGTCCTGAGCTCCCAGAGCAGGGAAGACAGGACAGGTTTCAGAAGGCATCTGTGAGACGCTGACAGGTTTCACGAATAAAGCTGAACTTGTGGTTTATCTTGATGGCTCCAAAGAAAACTGCACCCAAAGGTGTGTGGTCCGAGGTGCCAGGCCCAGGAATAGCCCAAGCTGCCTACGGTGGGTTGAGCTGTGTTGAGAGTGAGTCAGAGGTTGTAAATCTATGTTAAATAGTCACTTGGCACGGATGTGATGGTCCAGATTCAAGATCTCCAGAGACTCAGGCAAGACTAGAAGGACCACTGCAACCCTGAAATTCTACACTCTGAACCCAGATACTATTTTCTGTTTAGAATGGGTTTTGGTGAAAGGAATTGGCAATAAGTGGTTACAATGTCACTGGGGACATAGAGATCTGTATGAAGGACAAGAAGCCTGAATCAGATGGGTTCTGCTTGCACCCTAGACTGCAGAAGGACAGTCTGAATTGAGACTTTTTGTCCAGTCTTCTGGAAGTTAGTGTAGCCACGGTGGTGTATTGCAACATTCAATAAACAGGCCCCGGTGGAGTCTCTGATGGGTTTGGGTAACCTCCACGTAACATCTGGAACCCCCCTGCCCCCCTACCAATCAGGCATTATTTACCCTAGAGCGACTTCTGCCATGGTGGAAGGCCACTGTTCATGCAGTGGGTTAAACAGAGTGTTATTTCTACAGCGCAAATCAACAGATCAGCTGCTGTTCTCCTAATTTTGTTCTGGTGGATTTGGGCCAGGAGAGGCAGGGTAATAATTTAATCTTCTAGAACTACTGAATCTTGTTAGAATACTTAGCTGCACCAAGGAAAGATGAAGCATGAAAAACTGATCACCTTCCACGTGGCCTCTGTCCCCGTGACTGACTAATTACATCTCACTTTATTTGCCTGAAATCAATTCTCCTCAAATCTTTAAATGAGATCTCATTTTCTCCATTAGGCCTTTGCTTTTGCCTGGGGCATGAGCATTTTAGCTATTTGCATCTTCATTAAGTCTATTTTATCTCATATGACTGGAATCATTCTTTAACGCCACATATATAATGGAGTTAGCAATGATTAACATGCATCTTTTCTTTTCTTTTGGCCGGGGCTGGGTTTGAACCCGCCACCTCCAGCAAACGGGGCGGCACCCTACTCCTTTGAGCCACAGGCGCTGCCCAACGTGCATCTTTCCTTAAGGATGAAAACATGCACTACTTCTTTTTTCAAATTCCCCCATGCACTGCCATTTTCCCAGTGGAAACTGCCTTAAAATTCCATGCACAGCAGACTCATCCTTGAGATCAGGAGAAGGAGGCGACCCATGATGGCCGAGGGCAGGCTGTGAGCCCAGGGCCCTGGTTCTTCTGTTCTGCCTGTTTCCTTGTGATTCGGCCACACCCAGGTCTCTCAGCCTTCCGGTGTGTCTTTCTTGATGGGCTGCTCATTTCCCTTCTTTGAATTTTTTACCTGAGGCAAGTTAGTCTTGGGGCAACTTATACAAGTAGCTAATCTTTCCACCCGAGTTATTGAAAGAATGGCACTCAGGAGTACGCCTCCTTGGTTTAAGCTAAATCTCAGACACACGGGTCTGTCCTCAGGGCCACAAGGCTTCCGTTGGGACACAGGAGTCTGTCCTCAGGGCCACAAGGCTTCCTTTGGGACACAGGAGTCTGTCCTCA